ATAATTAATTAATTTTCTGTTAATATCTATCTACATTATTAAATAATAAACTTTATATGAAAAAAAACATTACTTATTTTAGGTATATTTTTTTATACTGGGTATTACAGGATAGTAAATTTTTAAGTAAGTTTACACAAATTAAGCTAATAAAAGTTAAATAAATAAATTTATTTATTTATTGGTTGTGTTTTTAATAGGTGATGCTATTTATCTAATTTGGTTTACATAGATAGTTTTATAGAAATAAATTTAAATTTAAATAAGAAGTTAATAAAAAAATATTCCTAATTTATTAAACAAAAAATACATTTATTTATTTATTTATTTATTTGTAAATACCAGTTTGTTTTTATTTTGTATTTTACTATTTATTTTTAAAAAATAAATATATTATTTTTATTAAATTAAATTAATTAATCATTCATAAACATTCTTTATAAGCAACTAATCTCTTAAATTTCCAAACTTTTTGTCTAATTAAATATTTCTGTTCCTAGAGAATATCATTTGTACTTTTTATTATAAAAGTTATTAAATAATTTTAAATAAAAAAAATAAGCAGATGCTAAAGAAATAAATAAATAAAAATAAGTAAGTATGTAAGTAAATTTGAATATATCTGAATTATAATTCTATCAAAAATAATTAAATTTTCAATCATATTTGTTTTTTTCTTAATCAAAATTTATTTAATTTAGTAAAATGAATAAAAAATAAATAAATTTTTTACTGTAGTCTTAGCTTCAACTTTTATAACTTAATGCACTTAGACAAACCAAAACATAATTTTTAAGCTCCTTCAATACCAATATTATTATAGCTTTTTAAGTATTTAGATAAAAAAAATGAGATTTTAAATTAAAGTTAAAATATTAATAAAAATCCTTTAAATATTTTGATGAGAAATAAAGAAAATTAAATAAATTGATTACCAAATTATTTTTAAAAATGCTAGTAATAATTAAATAATTAAATAAATAAATTATAGGAAACAATTATCTAAATAAATAAATATAATTTAATGAGATTTAATAATTTACGAAAGGTATAGATTCAGCTGAAATAGATTGGTGCACTTTGCCAAAGAGTTACCTAAAATCTATGCATCATCTGAATTAAGATTGTTTTCACTTTTAAATATATTTATTCCAATATAAAAATAAAAAATTTTAAAAAGAAAAATTTAATTGTTAATTGTTGATTTAATATAAAAAATTAAATATATTTAAAATATAATTTTTAATAATAAATAGAGAGAGAGATAAATAAATAATAAATTTTTACTTTAAATTCAGCTTTAAAATTTTTAGTTTGGATAATTTTTCTAATGTCAGACCTAAATATTATGCATCATCCTACTCATTAAATTAATTCTACCTATTAAAATATTTAAGATTAATTTTTTAATTATTATTAATTATTTATTTATTTATTTTAAATGTTTTTTATTTATTCATATATCAAAATACTTTTACTTTTTTTTCTTTTTGTTAAATAAATAATTAATTAAATATGTAAATGCATATGCAAATTAAGCTTTTTGCTTTTTTGTATATTTAAAAATATATGTAAAATAGATAAGGATTTTTACCAAAAATCAAGTTTTAATTTATATAGAGTAGGATAGTTTGATAATGTAGACATTAAGCCACAAATCCCTTTACCGTTTATTTAATTTCTCCTATTTAGAATAAATTTATTATTCAAAAAATAAATAAAAATATTTTAAAGAATTAGCTTAAATATATATAGCTTATTAATCAACTCAACTTAAAAAATATAAATAAACAATAAAGTTTTATTACTAAAGAAAGAGGGTTAAAGATAAAAGATTAGGGATTTTACTCAAAACAACACCCACATTCTCAACATCTTGATTACTTACTTTAATTTCACTTTTTGTGTATTTTGAATAAATTATTATTTATGTTATATAAAAGAAATGAAATATTTAAATTAGTTTATGTTAAATAAAATAAAAAATAAATTAACAAAATTAATTTAAAGAGTTTTTAAAAATGTTTATTTGTTTTTCTCATAAAAATTTAAGAAAGAAAAATTAAAACTTATCAAATACCACAACGTTAGATACAAAGATTAGAGTTTTACACATTAAGATATAGAATTGCATAAACCAAGAATAACCTGAGCATCAATTTAAGTCTCACTTTTAAGTTATTTCAAATAAAATTTCATTTAATTAAGTAATAATTATAAATAAATCTTATTAATATTAATTATTAAATAAAATATATTATTTATTTTATTTATTAATGTATTCATTTAAGAATAATCAATCAATTCAAATTTATTTTTACCTAAGATTGATTTCTAAATTTGAGAGCTCATTGCAATTTATTAAAGCAGAGCCTAAAATTGTTGCACTCTATGCATTAATTTTACTTTAACTTTAATCATAGATAAAATTTATAAAATTAATAGAAAATAAATGATTAATTAAAAAGAATTAAGAAAATTTTTCTAGTTTCAATTTACAAAAAATATTTAAATAAATAAATAATGTAAAAAAGAAATCTTTTTACTACAATATAATTTCCAAAGAAGAAAGTTTAGTGCATTTTTCTAAAGCTTAGGCTAAACTTATTAAGCCTTGTGAATCTATTTTATTTTAGCTTTTTTATAAACAAACAAAGAAACAATCATTTTTTTAATAAAATGTAAAAGAAAAAAAAGCTAAATATTTATTTTTTGAAAGAAAAGTATTAATTAATAAGTGAAAATTATGATTTAAATTATTTTTACCTAAAATCAATTACAAGTATCTAGTGAGAACCTAAAGAAGAGTTTATAAACTATTTTATTTAAAAAATAAATTTCAAATATTTAGAATTGTATAATAATTATTAAATACATCTTCAAGATTTATAAAAGAGCTTTTTTATAAATCCATTTTTATTTGTTGAGATTTTATCTAATTATTTGTTAAATAAATTATGGAAATAATGATTCTTAAAATTGAGGTTCAAAAATAAATTAAGAAGTTTTTATTGCAGTTTAATAAATCAGAGCCAAATCTCTTAGCTACTTAAATATCCTTTTTAATTTTAAATATCATTTTTATTTTGAAATACAAATTTTTATTAACTTACATCAAAAAAAACCATCCATCCATACATATATAATAAATGTACAAAAAGTTTAAATAAAATTAAAAGTATATGGATGATACCGTATGATATTATCAAAACCACAAACACATTATTAACATATTGATATATTCATAAAAATGCTATATTTATTTATAAATACCAGATTTTATTTTGTAAGTTTTATGATTTACTTTTAAACATTTACAATAAATATTAATAATTATTTTAATTAAATTAATTAATCGTTCATAAAAATAATTTAAAAGCAATTAATCTCTTAAATTTCAAAACTTTTTGGTTTATTAAATATCTCTTTTCCTTGAAAGAATCATTTTAACTTTTTATTATTAAAATTAAATTAAAAAGAATTTTTAATCAAAAAAATAGCAGACGTTAAAAAAATAAATAAATAAAATAAGTAAATAAATAAATAAATGAATATGTTTGAAGTATAATTCAATAAAAAAAGTTTTCAATCATATATCAAAATCTTTGTTTTATTCTTTAAAAAATTTATTTAATTTTGTAAAGTGAATAAAGAATAAAAAAATTTTTACATTATTAGCTTCAACTCTTATAATTTAATGCAATTAGACAGACCAACACATAATTTTAAAGCTCCTTCAATCCCAATTTTATTAAAGCTTTTTAAGTATTTAGAAAAAAATTAAAGTTGAAATATTCAAAAATCGCTTTAAAACATAGAAATAATAAAAATTAAAGAAATTGATTATCAAATGATTTATCAAAAATGTATGCGAGTAATTATTGAATAATCAATCATAAAAAATTATCTAAATAAATAAATAACTATAATTTGAAGACATTTTATTTATATTTTACGATAGCTCTAGATTCAGCTGAAATAGATTGGAGCACTTTGCCAAAGCATTACCTAAATTCTATGCACCATCTTAATCAATATTGTTTTCACTATCAAATATATTTATTTCAATATTAAAATAAAATAATTAAAAAGAAAAATTTAATTTTTAATTTATAAATTAAATATTCGAGAAATAAAATAACTAGAGATTAAATTTTTAAATATATTTTTAACATTTAATTTTTAACAATAAATACAAAGAGATAGATGAATAGTTTTTACTTTAAATTCAGCTCTAAAATTTTTAGTTTGGATAATTTTTCTAATGCCTAACCTAACTATTGTGAGCCCTAATCATTAAATTAATTCTCCCTATTGAAATATTTAAGATTAATTTTTTATTTATTTTGAAAAAAAGACTTTTATTTATTTATGGGAGAAAAAAATGATAGAAATTAAAATTAAAAGCTAAATATTTGCAAATAATAAAAAAAAATAAAAATATTTTGATATAATAAAAATAAAAACATTTATAAATAATAAATTAATAAATAAGCAATTAATTAATATATTAAATAAGTAAATATATATGCTAAAGAAGCTTTTTGGCTTTTGATAAATTTAAAAATAAATGTAAAATAAAAAAGTTTTTTTACCAAAAATCAAGTTTTAATTTTGATAGAGTTGGACAGTTTGCTAATGCAGACATTAAGCCAGAAACCCCTTAACCATTTATTTCATTTCCCCTAATTAGAATTGATGAATTATTAAAAAATTAATGTAATATCTTAAAGATTTGAATTAAATATAGGTTAATAATCAGCTAAGCTTATAAAATATAAAATTACTAAAGGTAGAGGGTTAAAGCTAAAAGATTAGGGAATTTACTCAAAGCAAAACCCAAATTCTCAACATCTTCATTACTTATTTTAATTTAACTTTTTGTGTATTTTTAATGAATTTCGATTAAAATAAAAATTAAATTAGTTTATGTTTGTTTTTCAAGTTAAAAAAAAAAATTATTAATAAATTATCACAAATTAATTTAAAGATTTTTAAAAAAATTTGTTTGTTTTTCTCATAAAAATTTAAGAAAAAAAAATTAAATTATATCAAATACCACAGCATTAGATCAAAATATTAGAGTTTTGTACATTGAGATAAAGAATTGCATAAACCAAGAATAATCTGACCATCAATTTAAGTGTCACTTTTAAGTTATTTCAAATACATACATTTTCATTCAATAAAGTAATGATTTTAAATAAATCTTATTGATATTGTTTATTTTATTAATGTATTCATTTAAGAATAATCAATTAATTTAATTTATTTTTACTTGAGATTGATGTCTAAATTTGAGAGCTCATTGCAATTAGTTAAAGCAGAGCCTAAAATTGTTGCACTCTATGCATTAATTTTACTTTAGCTTTCATCATAGATTAAAATAATTAAATTAATAGAAAAATGCAATAATGGTCAATATAGAAAGAATTAAGAAATTTTTTCTAGTTTCAATTTTTACAAAATGCTAAATTAAATAAATAGTAAAAAAAAAGTCTTATTACTACAATATAATTTTCAAAGAAGAAAGTTTAGTGCATTTTTCTAAAGCTTAGGCTAAACTTATTAAGCCTTGTGAAACTATTTAATTTAAGCTTTTTTATAAACAATATTTTTTTAAATAAAACATATAAAAAGCTAAATATTTATTTTTTTTTAAAGAAAAACATTAATAAGTAAAAATTATCATTTAAGTTATATTTTTATTGTAAAAGGAAATTTTTTCAATTAAAAAGTGAATGGATATTATTTTTACCTAAAATCAATTTCAAGTTTGGAGTGAGTACATAAAGAAGAGTTTATAAACTATTTTATTTAAAAAATAAATTTTAAATATCTAGAATTACTTTATAATTATGAATTACTCTTCAAGATTTATAAAATGACTTTTTTATAAATTCATTTTTATTTTATTTAGATTTTATCTAATTATTTATTTAAAAAAAATTATGAAAATAATAATTCTTAAAATTGAGGTTCAAAAATAAGAAGTAAGTTATTCCAGTTTAATAAATCAGAAGCAAATCTCTTAGCTGCCTAAATATCTATTTTAATATAGATTTTTATTTTAAATATCATCTTTATTTTGAAATACAAATTTTTATTAGCTTGCATTCAAAAAAATCGATACGTATATTATTAATTCCATTACATTTATTTATTTATAAATACCAGTTTTTATTTTGTCAGTTTAGTATTTACTTTAAAAATAAAAAAATATTTACAATAAATATTAATATTTTAATAAAATTTAATTAATCGTTAATAAAAACACTTTAAAAGCGATTAATCTCTTAAATTTGAAAACTTTTCGTTTTATTTAATTCCTCTATTCCTTGAGGATATGACTTGTACTTTTTTAAATTAAATTTAAGAAAATTTTTAATAATAAAAATAATCAGATGCTAAATAAATAAATAAAAATAAGTAAGTAAGTAAATTAATAAATAAATAAATGAATGAATATATCTGAATTATAATTCTATAAAATAAATTTTCAATCAAAAATCAAAGTTTTTTTCTTATTACATTAATATTTAAAATTATAGTGTATAGTCTTGAAAAAGGCAGTACTCTAGGGTACTATATATATATAATAATCAAAATGATATTTAGTCGCCTTTTTTCAAAATAACTTGAGATATTTTTTTTTTCAGTGATTCGTTTGGCCTTTTAATGACTAGTTTAATTTTATTGTTCTATAAAAAGGTATGATGGATTCACTCAAATAGCTTTTTAGTGTCAATCTTATCATCAATTTCATTTATTTCTTCCTTGAGATAAGACTATTTTCTCTCGATAAGGCTTAAATCAGCTACATTTTGGTACCCAGTCTAGTTTGATAATGTTAAATTGATTAAGATATTCCGAAGTATACTTTGAAGTGTTGCATGAAGCTAAATCTTCTTCTAATAATGTGTTCTCTTGAAATTATTGAATTAAGTCACAATAATTTTTAGAATTCAGAATTTGGTTGGATATTTTTCCTTTTAATAGCATTGAGATTGTAAAATATCAGAGTGATGAACTTACCATACATACTTTTTGCCAATTAATCCCTTTTTTAGTATGATTTCATCTGAAAACAAAACTCTTCTCCACTTTTAAGACCATCTTACCTTTTCTTTAGCAAATTTAAGTCTTAGTTACTTTTACCCTTCAGTCATTAACAAAACTTTTGGTATCCTATCAGTATTTAATCCACTAGACTGAATCAAATTTCTAATCTTTCCAACTCCCATTTCATTTGGATTGATGATTTTATCTTTTTAACATCTACTCTTTGAAAGATGAAGATTATCTTTAAATCCTTTCATAATCATTTCTTTATCTTCTGTCCAAAATTTATTTTATCACCCACATTTTGAATATTCTGCTTTCTTTTTATTGATATTCTGCCATTCTTTTAAAATTTTTACTTCTGTTTATTCGCTACATGCATAAGAATCTCTACATTTCTTTTAATCTGTTTTAATACTTTTAAACATTTTTCATTGTTTAGTTTTAATATAAAACAAGCAATAATTGCTTTTATTGTAAAAGGAGAGGTAGGTTTCGGTATTAGTAAGAGAGTTAACTAACTTTTTATATTTTATTATTTTAGAAAAATATCTGCTTTTTTACTATAATTTATTTATTTATTTATTTTTGTAATTCATTTACTATTAAATTTTAAATTTTAATCAATCGATATATCTAGAGACATTTTTAATAAACTCTATTCATATTAAGATAATTTAAACAACGTATATTTTAATAAAGTATATTTCAAATTCAAATGGTAGCTGGTTATCAAAACTATAATTTAAATTAAACATTTTTGAACATTTATTAATTCCAATAAATTTATTTATTTATTTATAAATACCAGATTTTATTTTGTAAGTTTACGATTTACTTTTTAAAAATAAAAAAGCATTTACAATAAATATTAATAATTATTTTAATTAAATTAATTAATTGTTCATAAAAACAATTAATAAGCAATTAATCTCTTAAATTTCAAAACTTTTTGGTTTATTAATTATCTCTATTGCTTGAGAAAATCATTTGAACTTTTTGTAAAAAAATTTAATTAAAAAAGTAAGCAGATTTTAAAGAAATAAATAAATAACTAAATGAATATATTTGATGTACAATTCAATAAAAAAAGTTTTCAATCATATATCAAAATCTTTGTTTTTTTCTTGATAAAAAATTATTTAATTTTGTAAAATGAATTAAATATAAAAAAAATTTTACATTCTTAGCTTCAAAATTTATAACTTAATGCAATTAGACAAACCAATACATAGTTTTTAAGCTCCTTCAATATCAATTTTATTAAAGCTTTTTAAATATTTAGAAAAAAACTTATAATTTTAAATTAAAGTTAAAATATTTAAAAATTGCTTTTAAACTTAGGAATAATAAAAATTAAAGAAATTGATTATCAAATGATTTATCAAAAATGTATGTGAGTAATTATTAAATAATCAATCAGAAACAATTATCTAAATAAATAAATTTAATTTGAAGAAATTTTATTTATATTTTACTATAGTTCTAGATTCAGCTAGAATAGATTGGAGCACTTTGCCAAAGCATTACCTAAATTCTATAAACCATCTTAATCAATATTGCTTTTACTATGAATATATTGTAATTCAATATTAAAATAAAATTATTAAAAACAAAAATTTAATGATTAATTTATTAATTAATTTTTAGAGAAATAAAATAATTAGAGATTAAATTTTTAAATATATTTTTAACACTTAAATTTTAATAATAAAAAATAGTTTTTACTTTAAATTCAGCTCTAAAATTTTTAGTTTGGATAATTTTTGTAATGCCTAACCTAACTATTGTGTAACATAGTCATTAAATTAATTCCCCCTATTGAAATATTTGAGATTAATTTTTTAATTATTTTTGAAAAAAAGACATTTATTTATTTAAGGGAGAAAAAAATGATAGAAATTAAAATTAAAAGCTAAATATTTGCAAATAATAAAAAAATGTAAAAATATTATGATATAATTAAAATAAAAACATTTATAAATAATAAATAAATTAATTAATTAAATATGTAAATATATATGCAAAAGAAACTTTTTGGTTTTTATACATTTAAAAATATATGTAAAATAGATAAGGTTTTTACCAAAAATCAAGTTTTAATTTTGATAGAGTAGGACAGTTTGCTAATGCAGACATTAAGCCAGAAACACCTTTCCAGTTTATTTAATTTCTCCTAATTAGTATTGATTAATTATTAAAAAAATAATTGTAGTATTTTAAAGAGTTGACTGAAATATAGGTTAATAATCAGCTCAGCTTATAAAAATATAAAATTACTAAAGGTAGAGGGTTAAAGTTATAAGATTAGGGAATTTACTCAAAGCAAAACCCAAATTCTCAACATCTTCATTACTTATTTTAATTTCACTTTTTTTTTGTGTATTTTAATGATAATTTATAAAAAATAAAAAAAATAAAAATGTAAATTAGTTTATGTTTTTCAAGTTAAAAAAATATAAAAACTATGAATGAATTATCATAAATATTTAGAGTTTTTAAAAATATTTATTTATCAAATACCACAGCATTAAATCCAAAGATTAGAGCTTTGCACATTAAGATAAAGAATGGCATAAACCAAAAATAACCTGACCATCAATTTAAGTATCACTTTTAAGTTATTTCAAATACATTTTCATTCAATAAAGTAATAATTTTAAATGAAAGATATTAATATTACTAGTTAGATAAAATATATTGTTTATTTTATTAATGAATTCATTCAATAATAATCAATCAATTCAATTTATTTTTACTTGAGATTAATGTCTAAATTTGAGAGTTCATTGCAATTTATTAAAGCAGAGCCTAAAATTGCTGCACTCTATACATTAATTTTACTTTAGCTTTAAATATATATTAAAATAATAAAATAAATTAGTAGAAAAATACATAAATGATAAATTTAGAAAGAATTAAGAAAGTTTTTCCAGTTCCAATATAAAAAGTGTTAAAATAAATAAATAATAAATAAAAACATTTTTTACTACAAAAAAATTTTCAATGAAGAAAGTTTAGTACATTTTTCTAAAGCTTAGGCTAAACTTATGAAGCCTTGCGAATCTATTTTATTTTAGCTTTTTTAAAAACAAATTTTTTTTAAATAAAACATAAAAAAAAGCTAAATATTTATTTTTTTATTAAAGAAAAACATTAATAAGTAAAAATTATCATTTAAGTTAATATTTTTATTGTAAATGCAAACTTTTTCAATTAAAAAGTGATTGATTATTATTTTACCTAAAATTAATTTCAAGTTCGGAGTGAGTACATAAAGAAGAGTTTATAAACTATTTTATTTAAAAAATAAATTTTAAATATCTAGAACTACAAAATAATTATGAAATACGTCTTCAAGATTCATAAAAGGTCTTTTTTATAAATTCATTTTTATTTTGTTGAGATTTTATCTAATTATTTATTTAAAAAAAATTATGAAAATAATAACTCTTAAAATTGAGGTTCAAAAATAAGAAGTAAGTTTTTCCAGTTTACCAAATCTCTTAGCAAACATCCATTTTAATATAGATTTTTATTTTAAATATCATCTTCATTTTGAAATACAAATTTTAATTAGCTTATATTCAAAAAAATCCATACATATATAATTAATTCTATTACATTTATTTAAATATCATTTTTATTTTGTAAGTTTACTATTAACTTTTTAAAAATAAAAAAATATTTGCAATCGATATTATTATTATTTTAATAAAATTTAATTTATGGTTCATAGAAACACTTTAAAAGCAATTAATCTCTTAAATTTCAAAACTTTGCCTTATATTAAATACCTCTATTCCTACAGAATATCATTTGCACTTTTTTAAATTAAATTTAAGAAAATTTTTAATTATAAAAATAATCAGATACTAAATAAATAAAAAAGTAAATGAATGAATGAATGAATGAATGAATGAATATATATGAATTATAATTCTATAAAATAAATTTTCAATCATAAATCAAAGTTTTTTTCTTTTTAAAAATTTATTTAATTTTGTAAAATGAATTAAAAAAAAAATTTTTTTTTACAATAGTATTAGCTTCAACTTTTATAACTTAATGCAATTAGACAGACCAACACATATTTTTTAAGCTCCTTCAATACTAATTCTATTTTAGCTTTTTAAGTATTTAGAAAAAAAATTATGATTTTAAATTAAAGTTAAAATATTAATAAAAATCTTTTAAAAATTTTGATGAGAAATAAAGAAAATAAAATAAATTTATTATCAAATAATATGTTAAAAATGTGAGTAATTAATTATTAAATAAATAATGAGTAACAATTATCTAAATAAATATAATTTGAAGGTATTTTATTTATATTTTACGAAAGCTATAGATTCAAAGAAAATAGGCTGGTGCACTTTGCCAAAGCGTTACCTAAATTGTATGCACCATCTTAATCAAGATTGTTTTCACTATTAAATATATTTATTACAGTATTAAAATAAATTCTTTATAAGAAAAATTTAATGTTAGAGAAATAAATAATTAGAGATTATATCTTTAAATATATTTTTAAAATTTAATTTTTAATAATAAATTTAGATAAATAGTTTTTACTTTAAATTCAGTTTTAAAATTTTTAGTTTGGAAACTTTTTCTAATGCCAAACCTAACTATTATGCACACTAACCATTATATTAATTCTCCCTATTAAAATATTTAAGATTAATTTTATAATTGTTTAAAAAAAAAGACATTTATTGGAGAAAAATATTAAAGAAATCAAAATTAAAAGTTAAATATTTACAAAAATAAAAAAAATTAAAAATATTTTATTTCAATAAAATAAAAAAATTTACAAAAAAATAAATAATTAATTAAATAATCAAAACAAGATTTTTGACTTTTTCAAACATGTAAAAATAGATAAAGTTTTTTACCAAAAATCAAGTTTTAATTTTGAAAGAGTAGGACTGTTTGCTAATGCAGACATTAAGCCAGAAACCCCTTAACCGTTTATTTAATTTCTCCTAATTAGAATAAATTTATTATTAAAAAAATAAATGAAAATATTTTAAATAGTTAGCTTAAATATATATATAGCTTATTAATCAGCTCAACTTAGAAAAATTTAAGAATAATAATGTTTTATTACTAAAGATAGAGAGTTAAAGTAAAAAGATTAGGGAATTTACTCAAAGCAAAACCCAAATTCTCAACATCTTGAATACTTACTTTAATTCCACTTTTTGTGTATTTTGAATAAATTATTATTTATATCATAAAAAAGAATAAAAAATGTAAATTAGTTTAAATTTTTCAAGTTAAAAAATATAAAAATTATTAATAAATTATCAAAATTCAAAGTGTTTTTAAATATATTTATTTTTTTATAATACTCATAAAAATTTTAGGAAAGAAAAGTTTAAATTTATTAAATACCACAGCATTAAGAACAAACATTAGAGTTTTGCACATTAAGATAAAGAATTACATAAACCAAAAATAGCCTGGCCATCAATTTAAGTATCACTTTTAATTATTTCAAACAAATAAATTTAATAAGGTAGGTAATAAATAACTTTAGATAAAACAAACTTATTAATATTAATTGTAAAATAAAATTTATTGTTTATTTTCTTGATATTTTAATTTACAAAATAGTAATAAATAATCCATTTATCTTTACTTGAGATTGATGTTTAAATTTGAGAGCTCATTGCAATTTATTAAAGCAGAGCCTAAAATCGCTGCACTTTATGGATCAATTTTATTTTAACTTTAATTATAGATTTAAATAATAGGATTAATATAAAAATAAAAAAATGAATAATTTAGAAAGAATTAAGAGAATGTTTGTTGATAGTTTCAATTAAAAAAAAACATTAAATTAAATAAATACTAAAAAAATAAAAATCTTTGTACTACAATATAATTGTCAAAGAAGAAAGTCTAATACATTTTTATAATGCTTAGGCTAAACTTATTAAGCCTTGTGAATCTATTTAATTTATACTTTTTTATAACAAACAATTTTGAAATAAAACGTAAAAGAAAAAAGCTAAATATTTATTTTTTTTAAGAATAACAAAAATAAACGAGAAAAAAAAATAATTTATACCTAAGATCAATTTAAAGTATCTAGTGAGAACATAAAGAAGAGTTTATAAACTATTTTATTAAAAAAGTAAATTTTAAATATCTAAAATTACATAATAATTATTAAATACATCTTCAAGGTTTATAAAAGAGCTTTTTTATAAATCCATTTTTATTTTGTTGAGATTTTATCTAATTATTTATTTAAAAAATATATGGGAAAATATATATATGTAGCCCTACTGGAATTCACTATTATTTTGTTTTTCTCTCTAAAATATTTATTTAATTTTCTCATAGAATATTTCTTTATTCATATTATATATTTGCAAATGAATTGCATTCATTATCTATAATAAATTTATTTAATTATTTTCATTATAACTTCTTGATTTATTGATGGAAAAATAAAAAATATCTTTCAATAGTTAATACTTAAAATCATTTTTATTTGGATAGCCAATAAAAAAAGCATATTTAAAAATTGAGCACTTTAATATATAAAATATAAATTAAGAATTTTAAAATTTAATAAATGTAAAAACAAAATACATTACTAAAATATCATAATAACTAAGTATATTTCTTTTTATATATTTATAATTTTATATTATTTAACCATGATAAATTAAATAAAAGCAAAGAAATTTGTTTGGTCAAATATCTATTTTGTAGATAACTAATCTCTTCATTTTATGAATTTTTCTAATTTTTTTAAAACCATTTCCTTCTCATTCTTCTATCCATCTTTTAATTTATTAAATAATAAATAGTATTTCATTTCAATTTAAATTAAATAGATTTTATTTTTTTTTAAATTTGTACCAGAAAATATGATAAAGAAAAAGAGCAAAATAAATAAATGAATGAATGAATAGATAGATAGATAGATAGATAGATAGATAGATAGATAGATAGATAGATAGATAGATAGATAGATAGATAGATAGATAGATAGATAGATAGATAGATAGATAGATAGATAGATAGATAAACAAACAAAAATATTCGAAAGATTTTAGCATTTAATTAGAGATTCATTTAAACTTTAAACACCAATATTACCAATTATATTTTTACTAATATTTATTTAAATTTATTTATTAGAAAAAATTTAATAATCAAATTAGAAACAATAAAAAACAGATTTTATGAAAAAGAAATTTAAAAATAAATGGATGAGCTTAATAAAATAAAGCCAAAAATGTAAACACCTGATAAATAAATAAGAAAGCAACCAAGCAAATAGAAAAATTAACACAAAAAATTTTCGTATTTATCAACAATGTTTTTTATTTAAAAAAGAAAAAACAAGTATGGGCAATAAATAAATTGATTATTTATTTATTTTACTTGAAGTCAAGTTTTAAAGTTTAAAGTTAAGAGCATTTATTTTTCCAAAGCTGAACCTTATTCTAAAGCATGATTATTTCTTATTTAATTTTTTTTTTTTAATTTGGCCAAAATGAGTTTATTTCAAACTAAAATAATGAAGGTTATATCCATGTGTTGAAGTGGTTATTTAAATGGGTAACAATAATATTTATAATTAATGATTGATATTTGCTCTTATTTTTAAAAAATTTTAAATAATTAAAAAGTTAAATTAATAAAAAAAGTATTTTTTAAAATTCTTTATATCTATTACACAAATTCAATAATAGAAAGATAAATATGTTCTTTTGAGCTAGAATTAAGGAACTTTTTTTTGTTAAAAAATATTTTTAGCTTGAAAATGTGAAAAAATTTAATTACTTCTTTTAAATTATTAAAATATTTTTATTTCAAAATCATTTTATTTTGCACAATAGCAATAAAGCAAGAAAGTAAAATGATTAAAAAAATTTAATTAATTTTTTATCTTCAAGATTTAAAATTAATTTAAGTCAGTCAGTCAGTCAACAAAGTAGATTCAGATTAAAACTATTTGAATGAATTAATTTGAAATTTTAAAAATGTTCAATGTATTCTTACATATTTATCATGATGCATTCTAAGTAAAATTTTCATTTACCTCAAAATCTCAAAAGTAAAAAATAAAAAGCTCTAAGATTTTTAAATGTATTTTGTTTTTGAGCAATAAAAATTATAGAAAAAAATAAATTATGTTTTTATGGCAATTTACAAATTTATCAAAACGAATATAGATAATGTAAATAATTAATTAAAAAAGCAAACAATAAATATTTATTTATCAAAAAAAAATTTTTTTTTCAAAATAGAGTTCGAGATAGACTAATCTTTTAAACTTCAAGACTTTTGGGTATAATGAACTAATTAATTAATTAATTTAAATAATATAAATTAATAATTATTATAATTTAAAAATTTTGTTCTTTTTAAGCTAAAATTTTTTTGTTAAAAGTTATAAAATTCAGTCAGTTCAATCAATAAATTAATATCCTTAAAAGTTAATGAAAAAACATTTAAAAAAAAATAAAAATAATTTATAAGAAATTTTACTCAAACATACCATCACCATAAGTAAAACGAATGTTAAATTGTAAATATGAGAGATAACTACAATTTTTAAGCATGAGAGCTAAGAGAATTATTTCTTCTTTTCTTATCTTAGAATGATTATTACTTTAGTTAAAGATGAATTTAAATAAATTAATAAATAATTGATTCAAAAATTTTGGATGGATACTAAATATTCGTTGAATAAATTCATAAAATAAAAAGAAAGATATAAATAAAATCTACTTAACAAAATTAAATTTAAATAAACGATTTAAGTTTTAAAACAAACAAGCCAGTATAAATTTAACTATAAATTTGCTTATTCTAAAATTATTTTGATAAATGAAAGAAATTAAATTAATAAAAGCTAAATTAATTATGTTTTTACCCTTAATTGATGATGAATTTTTTGATTTTCTTGCACTTAGATACTCCTAAAAATAATCCCTAGAGCCACTCAAAATCTATATTAGGTGACCTGAAATATTATTAAATTTAAACTAACTAAATATTTTACTTTAATAATGTAAAGGTAATAAAAAATAAATAAATTATATAAAATATAAAACAAAAATAATAAAATATTTCTTTTTTTTTTGTAATAATTTTATAAATTAAATAAATAATAAATATAATTTTACTCTAAATAGAGTTCTAGTGTTGAAAGATTCAAGCATTTTGGTAAAGTGTTACTCATAATAGAAGCATACTAATCATTGATTTTATTTTACCTTTAACCATTAATTTTTTATTTTAATTTATATAATTAATAAAAAAAATTAATGAAATCATCTTGATGATAATTTTATAGTAAATAAATTAGTTTACGTTTACTGAGGGCGGTAATCACGGTAACCAAACTTTTTATTTTCAGTATATTGGCATGAACTTATTATATAATTTATAGTTAATGATTTTTATTTGAAAAAGATAGAAAATAAAAAATATTTTAAAAGCTTATTTAGAAATAACTAACAAGCTAACTAATTAACATATAAATAAACCAACTTGTGAATTCAAAAAATAATTAACATAAACTAGGCATAATTGCTTTGAAATTATATCAGAAAAGTAGAAAATAATTAATTGTTTTTACTTTAAGTTAACTTTAAAAGTTTATAGAAGAGTGCAACTAGCCAAAAATGAGAATTGTGCCATCATTCCTTGTACTTGAATATCGTTTGATCTGTTAGATTAAAGTATAAATTAGTTAAATCTGTTTAGAAAAAAAGTATAAAGAAAACGGAGTATTAATTATTTATTTATAAATAGTTAAAAAACAAACAATTATAGCTGAATAGTTAATTAATAATTGAGTTAAAACTAGAAATTAAACACAATAAATTAAAAAACTAATAAATAAATAAATCACTATAAATCCAAATCTAATGATAAGAGATTCTTAAGATTTGCTAAGCCAGAAAATTTATCCTTCTCTCCATAAAATCTAATACTATTAGATCTTTTGTTTGTTTTATAAAAAATAAATAATTGAGGTTCTATTTAATCAAAATTTTTAAATATTTAATTAATGAAAATGTTATAATATATTTAGTATTAAAAATAATTCATAAATCTAATTTAGCCTCTGTTAAAAAAAAGTCATAATTGAGACCAGGCATTATTTTTAATTAAGTATAAATAATAAAAATAGAGGGATCCCTTATTTTACTTTTTACATTTTATGTTTAATGGTATTATTTTTTCTTTTGTATTCTAGCTTTTTATAATAATTACAAATTAATATTTTTACTTTAAATTAAGCTTCAAAGTTTAGAGTTTATTGCATTGAGCTAAGGTAGAGAAGAGGTCATATGTCCCTTATACTTAAATTTAGTTATGACTGCGTTTTATAAAAAAGATTTGATTTATATTTTATGATGTGAAATTTTAATTAAATTTGAGAGTATTAAAAAGAGAATCAGATAAAAAAATAAGCCTTTATTTTTTATAATTTGTTAATGATGTTGAGTATAAAATATACTTTTTAAATCTAAACAGACATTATTGAATATTAAGATTTTATTACCTTAAGTCAAGATCTAAATTATTTAAGTTAACCATTTTTGATAATCCAGAAAATATGTATCTTTCTTCTTTGAATTTAATACTGTTTTAACTTTTTATAATAATAATAATTTAAAAAAACAATAAAATTCAATTTTTTACTAGTTATCACGTAATTAATTTATTTATTTCAAATTATATATTTTGAAATTTATTTAAATATTTATTTATTTTTTGTAGTAAAGATAAATCATAATAATTTAATAATAAACTAATTAATTAATTACCTTAAATCTACTTTCAAGGTTTAAAGAAGAGTGCAATGTGATAAAGAATCAAATAAATTTATGGTTTCTATTTCTCCAATTTAATTTTTGCTATTTAACAAAGTATTTTTTAATAAATACCAGCAATATTAAAATTTTAAATTGATTAAAAAGTATCACTTTACTTTTTGAATCAAAATAATAAAAAAAATATAAATATCTATCTTGGTTTCTTTCTTGTTTTTTGTATTTATATTTTCTTTCTTATTTTTTCAAAACCATTTAAAAAATAATTTTACTATAAATACAGCTCTAAAGTTTAGAGATTTACTAAATTAGCTAACCCTGAAAATAAATCCTTTTGTTCTGAAAACATAATTTAATTGGATCTTTTGTATATAAAATTATTTATATGATAAAAATTAAATTTTAAACTAAAATGTAATTAATTTTATTTTTTTTAGTCATTATTTTGATCAAACAAATAACTAATTTTTCATATTTACCCTAAATTTAGCTCTAGATACTTAAGATTTGATAAATTTGACAAAAAACTGCATAATTAGAAACAACCAAAACCACGAGAATAATTATCACTTTTTAAATAAAATAAAAAATTATTTCAAATTTTAAAAAAAATATAAATTTATTTCTTTTTCCATAAATTAAAATTAATTAGATTTTACTTGAAAGATATTTTTAAAGATGACAAATTACTTTTAGGTATTTTAATTAAACCCACTAACCTCTCTTCTATTTTGTTATACCTATTAATTTTTTAACAGAAGTAAGTTTATAATTCTTGAAAAGAGCTAAAGCAATCCAATTAAACAAACAAATAAATAATTTTAATTATAATTTAACTAAAAAAATTGAATATGCAAAATAATTTTGTAAATTAAAATCATATTTGTAAGACTATAATAATATAAAAATAAATTAAAATGATAAATAAATATTTTTACCTTAAATTTATGATTAAATTTTAAAGACTAGTGCTATTAGATAAGCCTGTCAAAAGCGCTATTGCTCCTTTTAGTGTAATTTAATTTCTACTGTTAAGTAAAAAATTAATTTATATTTTTTAATTTCATTTATCAAATATGTAAAATAGACAAGGATAAATGGATAGATAATCTATCTTGAAAAATCTCAATAAAAAACAGATCTAACAAGAATAAATCAAAATTTTAATTTCAAAATTTAGCAGGAATGAGTAAACAAATAAGTTTATAAGTTATTGAGAATGATTATTAAATAATTGCTTATTATTAGTTTTCTTTTTTCAATATCTTTTTCAGTATTTAAAAATTGTTTTTCTATTTTACCAGAAATCTAAGTTTAAAGTCTAAAGACTAACAGTTTATCCAAGATGAGTTCCTATAGCTGCTACAATTTCATCATTAATACATTTACTCCTAATATAATAAAAATTTATATTAAATTTAAAATAACTGTAAGCTATAAGCTAAAATTAAATCAGAAAAGGAATTAAAATTTATTTAATCTTTGAAATTTAATCATATTTACTTAAAAAATAAATAAATAAATAATATCCAAAGTTTTATAAAACCAAAGTAGAAAATTGAAAAATTTAATTCAGTTTTTATATTTTTCTATTCTGGTTTTAAGAATAAATTCTAAGGATGATTAAATATACAGGACATTAAATTGTAAAAACATAACTAGCTCTTGATTAATTAAGTCTTTCATTGGTTATTAAATAAAAATATATCAATCGTATTAAGAGATGTGAGGGAGGATGTCAATAAAAAATATAATTTTTTATAATGAAAAACTTTCCCTCAAAATGGTGTTTTTCTTCCAAAATAAATTGGCGTCCCTTAATTTATAAGGAGTTAGAGTTTGTATTTATTTTTTAAGTTAAAATAAAAAATGTTGAGTTTTTTATCATATTAAGAAAAGAGAAAGTTTTTGAAATCAAAAATAAAAAATTTATGCCTTTCTTAATAAAAAGAAAATGAAAAAATAAAAAATATTTCAGTAGTTATGTAAATATGAAAATATTTTTACTCGAAATCAATCTATGCTGTCTTGAGTTTTGGACATTTTGCTATAGCAGAGGCAAAATTGATTGAATTTTTATCACGCATACCCTAAATTCTTTTATGTTAAATAAAAATAAATGTATAAGCGAAATAATTATCAATATGAATGAATAAATGTATGTATGTATGTTTGAATGAATGAATGAATGGAACAAAAGAATGCTAAAGCAAATAAGATTATTGTTAATTATTACCGAGATTTTATAATTAGATTTTAGAGATTATAGCAACATGATAAAGCATTAGCACAGCTTAGAATGTCTTGTATTCCATGATCTCTTTATAGTTAAATTTAATAATAATTTAATTGATTTTTAAAAATATCAAAAAAATATAATAAGCTAAAGGATAGTTAGCATTAATTTATTTGTAATCATATTTATATATTTCAGACAGATATCCTAAAAATATATATGATAAATTAAATATAAATAAATATGTAAGGCAAGTAAGTTAGTTAATTATTTAGTTTACCCAATTTTAAGGTTAAGATTAATATGAGATAACACTGAAGATAAAATAAACTTTTTATAATTTAATTTAAAATCAATTTTAATAAATTAAAAGAAAATAATAAATAACTTCATCTAATGAAAATGAGTGTTCTTTTTCGTTAATCATTTTTTCTACCTTTTTTTTAATTTTTTGTTTTCTTCTAATTATTAATTACACATAAATTATTTAAATATTATCAATTGTATTTAAATAAAATTATCTAGAAGATAATAAATTCTTTTGTCAGAAATTATTAATATATTTATTTTATGATTAGAATTAATTAAACTAAAAAAAAAAAAGATATTTTTGAATTTAAATTACAATGTAAACAATTTGAGCATTTTAAGATAAGGAAAATTCACTTAATATAGACGCTATAAAAGAATAAAATAATAGAGAGAGAGAAGAATGCAAATAAAAATAAACTTATTTCACTCAGGATAGATGGATCGATCAGTTGATTGATTGAATGAATGACAAATGAATTTCATTTAACCTATGTTAATTCATTAAATAAATCAGGTAAAACTTTAAGATATAAAATACTAAAAAATTAACTTAGATAATAAATAACAAATTAAACTTTTTAATGCATTTATAAAAATAAGCTTTAAAATGGATAGTTTGTTTAAATTGGTTGAATTATGTAGCTTGCTTGATATAAATAAATTATTTCAATTTGAACTTAAATTACAATATCAAAATTTCAGCATTTTAGAATAAGGAAAATTCACTTAATATAGACGCTATAAAAGCATAAAATAATAGAGAGGAATACAAATAGATATATACTTATTTCACTCAGGACAGAAAAATCTCAAGATAAATGGATAAATCAGTTGATTGATAGAATGAATGACTAATGAATTTCATTTAACCTATGTTAATTCATTAAATAAAGCAGGTAAAACTTTAAGATATAAAATACTAAAAAATTAACTTAGATAATAAATAACAAATTAAACTTTTTAAGGTATTTATAAAAATAAGCTTTGAAATGAGTAGTTTGTTTAAATTGGCTGAATTATATAATTAGCTTCATGTAGATAACTTATTTCAAGGATAATTGATTAATTAATAAATAAATATAAAAAATCTTCTAAAAAAATTATAAAAATTGATCCATCCTTAAAATTCTGGCTAGACCTCACTTTTCCTATTATATTTTTATTTTAAATATCATCTTTATTTTTAAATACAAATTTATGTTAACTTACATTCAAAAAAATTCATAGATAAATAAATAGATAGATGGAAATATATGTTGAATCTAAAGTATACATTATGTATTTATTTTATAATATTAAATGTTTTCTTTTGTCCTATCAAATAATATCTTGAGTTATAAAAATCTCAATAATTCATCAAAAAAATTTTAATTTCAAATGTGCTTAAAAATATGTTGTAGACAGAAATATAATATTTATTTATTTATTTTCTAGATTTACTCTGCACTAAATAAAATACATTTTTTGATATTTTAAAATTTAAATAATAAATTTTTTTAATAATATTTGTATGAATTAATTAATTATGTAGAAATAATATCATTATTAATTTTGCTTTAAAAATAAATTTAATTTACTTACACAAAAGAATAATAAAGAAAAATAAATAGTTAAGTAGAAAGATGATGATTACTTTCAAAAATTAATACTAAAAATAATTTTCATTTGAATAACCATTAAAAATAAAAATTTAAAAACTGAACTATTTAATATTTAATATATTAACGATTTGAAAATTTCACAAAATAAATAAAAACAAAAATCACTACTAAAATCACACTAAAAAAGACTTATTTTAATAAGTTTATACTTTTATATTTTTTAACCATTTTTAATTAATTAAAAACTAAGTAATTTTTTTGGTCTGTCAAAAATCTATTTAATAGATAACTAATCTCTTCATTTTATGAATTTTCCTAATATATTTAAAGTTAGATTCTTCCCATAATAAAATCCACCTTTTCATTTATTAAATAATATTTCATATCAATTAAAATTAGATAGAATTAATTTTTCATAAATTTGTAACAAAATATTTGATAAAAAAAAAGAACTAAAAAATAAATAAATGAGTAAATAAATAGATAGATAGATAGATAGATAGATATAAATATTGAGAAATAAATACATAATAACTATTATAGAATTTTAAATATTAACAAATAAATAATCAAACTTGCTTAATATATTAACAAAGTGTGTTTAAATAAATAAAAAATTTAAAATAAGTGTTTTATATTTACCCAAAATTAATTTTCAAAGTAGATAAATTAGGACTCTAAGATAATGCACTGCATAAATCAATTATACCCTTTCCACTAATTTAATTATTCCTTTTATAGGGTTTTTATCATTGTTGTTAAATAAATTATAATAAAATAAAAAGTTAAAAATTTATTTAATAAAATATTAAAAATAAAGATAATTAAAACACTCAAAAAATCATAAAGAAAATACAAATGAAAGCAATTAAAAATATTTATATTAATAAATTTAATAAGTAAACTATTTTTACTCAATGTCCAGTTACAAATTTTAGAGGTTCTTGCATTTGGATAAAGATAAACCTAAGACAAAAGCACCAAGATTACAAATTTAGTTATCACTTTTAGGATGTTATTTATAGATTTAATAAAAAATAAGGAATGATATAATATTAATAAAATATAAAGAATTAAAACTGATATCAATCAACAAATTCAAAAAATAAGAAATGAATAAAATAATTCTTCTTAAAACTGAATTAATACAGGTCTAGATCAAAAAACGAAGGTATTGAAATAAAATTAAAAAATAAATTTAAAAAGAGAAATAATAGAAATAATTAAAAATAAATTTTATTAATTGTATTAGGAGGAGTGATATAATTTTTACTATAAAATCAATTTCTCTAATTAAGTAATATATTTATTATTTTTATTTTGAAATATGTTTTACAAAAGACTAAGTTTCAAGCTAGAAATATTAACCAGTTTTGATATAGCTGTAGTTAAAAATTATGCACCATCTTTGTCAATTTAATTTCTACTTTAAATTTAATAAAAAAAAATTAATATTTTAAAAAATTTTTGATTTTAATCAATAAAAATTAAAATGATTTTTCATTTTTTTAAGTTTAAAATCTAAATATAAATAATTTAAAAATTAATAAATGTACTTTAAGTTAAGATTTAATGTTGAAAGTTTTTTGCAGCATTCTAAAAGGGAAACTAAATCTGATGATCCTTATTTACCAATTTTATTATTCCTATTTCATTTAAAATAATATTTTTTATAGCTAAAAATGTTAAAGACATATTAAACTAATTATTTAAATCAATAAGTAAATTAAACTTAAAAAAGAAGCAATACTAGTTTTAGAAATTATTTATTAAAAATTTTTCTTTTTTTAACAAATTAATAAAAATAAACAAATAAATAAATAATCAAATTTACCATAGATCTAGATTTAAAGTTGAGATATTAATACACTTCCCTAGAGCCATGCCTATCATTTATGCACCCTTATTACTAATTTTATTCTTTCTTTTTAAATTAAGAATATTTTTTTAGTTAGTTAAATTAATTATTAGCTTGAAATAATATGAAAAATGTTTTTTCAGATCAATTTATCCTAAAACAAGTAGTTTGAGTTACACAGTAAATTTAAAAAAAAATAATAGAATAAATCCAATAGAAAAGATAATAATTTGAGTATTTTTTATAACTTTAATAAAATTAATTTTTAACAAAAAAGGTAATTAATTGACTGTACTAGAGATAAATGGATAAATTTGAGAGTTCAGAGCAATTTGATAAAGCAGAAATTAAATTGTATGCACCCTGGCCTAGGTTACCGATTTAATTGTTACTTTTATGGTATTTGATAATTAATAATTACTTAATTAATATATTTTGAAGTATGGATTAGGTTTGAATAAAAAATCAATGAATAACATTAAATAAATTTAGTAAAAATTAGTTAATTAAATAAATAAACAAACAAAAAAATATTTTACCATATCTAAATTTCTAAATTTGATAGCTTTTTACACTTAGCTAAACTTATACCTAAATCTGACATACCTTATGCATCAATTTAATTAAGACTTTTATAAATTATATTATTTAGAATTATAATAATCAAGTTTAAAATATTAATTGAAAAAAGCTTTATATAATTTGATTTTAAAAGTGGTAAAACAAACAAATCAAAATGAAAGAAATAAACAAAAAAATCAATGAAATTCTAGCTTGAAATATTCATTCATATTAATTAAGCTTTTTCTATTTAAATAATCTTTTATTTGAAAAAGTAACAAAAAACTAAACTTTTATTTTTACTTTAACTTGAGACTCAAACTTTTAAGGTCAATAAAATTTGTTAAAGCCTAGCCCAAGTCTTTAGCACCTTAAGATTAAATTTTATTGTGACTTTTATTTAGCATATTAAAATAAATATATGAATTAAAGAGTGCATATAAAAAAGAGGAATAATTTTGATTAAATAAACATTTTGGATAATTATAATTCTAAATTAAAAATAAATTTAATAAAAAGTATTGTAAATAAGTTAAATTATTTTATCTGAATTGTATAAAATAAGGTATATAAAATATTTTACTAGAGTTCTATTGTCAAATTTGAGAGATTCGAGCAGTTAATTAGAGATTTACTTAAACCCTAAAGGCCTAAATCACTAATATTATTTTTACTAATATTTATTTGTTAGAAAATTTTAAATAATCAAATTAGAAACAACCAATAACAAATTATAATTAAAATATAAATTTTAAAATAGTTGAGCTTAATTAAATAAATCCAACAAGTAAACCTGACTAAGCAAATAAGCAAGAAAATTAAAAATTATTTATTTTACTTGAGGTTGAGATTCAAAATTTAGAGTTAAGAGCATTTTTATAAAGCTAAACCTAATTCTATAGCAAGGTCATCATTTATTTTTTTGTTTCTTTAAAAAATGGGGGATAATTATTTTATTTTATATATATTAAATCAATATTTTAAATATATTAGAATAACTATTTAAAGAAATAACAATAATAATTAGTATGAATGAATGAATGATTGATATTTGGTATTATTTTTTTTTAATTTTAAATAATTAAATTGCTAAATTAATAAAAAAAATTCTTTATATTTTTTTACTAAAGCTCAATAGAAAGATTGATATGTCCTTTTAAAGATGAATTAAAAAACTTTTTTTATGTTAAAAAATAAATTTTAAATTGCAAAAGAGAAAAAATTTAATTACATCTTCTAAATTATTAAAATATATTTCTTTCTATATCATTTTATTTTGCACAAAATCAAGTAAGCAAGATTTTTTTTAAATTTTAATTAATTTTTTTTTAAAGTTTAATTTTTAATTTAAGTCACAGAAGATTCAATTCAAACTATTTGAATTGATTAAAATGATAAATTTTAAAATCTTCAATGTATTCTTATACATTTTATGATGCTAACTAACTAACTAACTAACTAACTAACTAACTAACTAACTAACTAACTAACTAACTAACTTTGATTTGCCTCAAAATCTGAAAAATAAATTAAAAGCTGAGAGATTTTTAAATGTATTCTTTGTTTTTTTTAACAAAAATAATTGTAGAAGAAAACAGATTAAGTTTTTATGGCAATATATAAATTTATTTTTTTATTGAGTTTAAAAAAAGAAATATTTCAAAACGAACAGATATAGATAGACAGACAAATAGATAATGTATATATTTAAAAAACAATAATATTTATTCAAATAAGACTTAAATATCAATATTCTATAAAATTATAATGTTTTTTATATTTGAAATTGACTAATCTTTTAATCTTGAAGACTTTACTTAAAAGTTACTACAATTAACTAATTAATTTAAATAATATAAATGAATAACTATTTTAATTTACTTTTTAAATTAAAGTATTTTTGTTTAATTTTATAAAATTTTGTCAATTCAATCAATATCCTTAAAATTTAAGAAATTAACATTAAAAGAAAAAATAAAAATAATTGATTAGAAGTTTTACTTTAACCTATCACTAACTCTAAATTCTAAACATCGGATATAACTGGAATTAAGTATAAAAACTAAGGAATATACTTCTTAATTAGTTAAATTATAAGAACTATTTTATTAATTAAGAGTTTAAATCAATTAAAAATTAATAATTAAAAAATATTTTAGAATAAAAATTCATTTAATAAATTGATTAAAGAAAAAGAAAGACATAAAATATACTTAATTAATTAAAATTTAAATAAATGATTTAAGCTTAAAAATAAACAGCTTAAATTTAACTATAAATTTGCAAGATATATTTAGATAAATTATAAAAACTCAATTAATTAATGATATTTTTACTCATAATTGAAGATAAATGTTTTGATTTTCTTGCACTGAGATATTTCTAAAAATAAACCCTAGAGCCATTAAAAATCTACTTAACTTGACATAAAATTTATTAATTTTAAACTTAATATTTTTACTTTAAAAATGAAAAGAAAAAAAATTAAAAAAAATAAGTACAAAAATATTCTTTCCTACTTTTTTTTTGAAATAATTTTTTTAATAAAATAAAAAAGTATAATTTTACTCTAAAGTAAGGCCCAGTGTTGAAAAATTCAAGCATTTTTCTAAAGTATTATTTTTTTATGAAGTCTAATAATTGATTTTATTTTAAACCATCAATCTTTTTATTTTAATTGTTTAATATTAATAAAATTAATTAGTGAAATCTTATTGATATTAATTTTTAGTAATTAATTTATTTACTTTTACTTAGAGTCTCTGTGTATCTTTTTAATTTCAATAATTTTGCATGACCTTATAATATTATTAAATGATTTTGAGTTAATTATTTTTATTAGAAAAAATTTGAAAATATAAATATTTTAAAAGCTTATCTAGAATAACTTATTTACTTACTTACTAACTAATAAACCAATTTGTGAATTCAAAAATAATAAGGATAAACTACTGTCTATTCTCGATTTTAAGATGATAAAAAAAATAATTTTTAAAGACATTCCTTCTCTTATATTAAAATTCCTTTTAAATTTGAGTATCTATATCTTAAATTTAAATTCGAGAATAGACTGTATATAATAATTCAAGAGAGGCATAAATGCTTTGAAATTATATCAGAAAAATAGAGAATAATTAATTTTTGTTACTTTAAGTTGATTTTAAAAGTTTAGAGAAGAGTGCAACTTGCCAAAAAAGAGAATTGTGCCAGCACTCCTTTTATTTGAATATTGTTTGATCTGTTAGATTAAAGTATAAATTAGCTAAACCTTTAAAGTAAAAAATGATGAAGAAAACAAAGTATGGATTATTTATTTATTTATTCATTCATCTATAAATAGTTAACACCAATTTAAGTTATTGTTTAATAGAAGAATTAAATAAGTTGAATAGTTAAAGTAATAATTGAATTAAATTTTGAAAATAAATAAATAAATGAAATTAAAAAAACTAAAATATAAATAAATAAACCACGATAAATCCAAATCTAATGATTAGAGATTCTTAAGATTTGCTAAACTAGGAAATTCATCGTTCTCTCCATAAAAAGTGATGCTATTAGATCTTTTATTTTATAAAAATAGATTGAGGTTTTAATGAATAAAAAAAAACTTTTGAAGATTTAATTAATTGACCATTTTAACTATTTTAATATTAAAAATAATCATAAGTCTGATTTATTCTCTCGTGATAAAAAAATTCATAATTGAGGCCAGATATTATTTATATTTAAATATAAATATTTATTTAAAAGAATCCCTTTTTTTTACATATTTATGTTAAATGATATTATTTTTTCTTTTGTATTCTAGCTTTTTGTAATAAATGAAATAAAATTTATATTTTTACGATAAATTAAGGTTCAAAGTTTAAAGTTAAGTGCATTGATCTAAGGTAGAGAAAAGGTCCTATGTTCCTTATTCTTAAATTTTGTTATGACTGTTTTTTTTATAAAATAAATTTAAGTATTATTTTATGATGCCAATTTAAAAATTTTAGAGCATCAAAAAGAAAATCAGATAAAAAATAGTAGGTTAATTTTTTATAATTACCTATTATTTTTTATAATTTATTGATGATAATGAGTCTAAAAATATTTTTTAAATGTAAACAGGCAGAGATTATTGAATATTAAAATTTATTTACCTTAAGTCTAGATGTAAATTAATTAACTTAGCCATTTTTGATAATACAGAAAATATGTTTCTTTTTTTTTCGAATTTAATTTGATTTTATCTTTTATTATAATTATATTAAAAACAATATATATAATTTTTCATTCTATAATAGCAATGATATTATTAATTAATTTAAAATTCAATTCAAATATTTCAAGATTTATTTAAATATTTCTTTTTTGTCAATATAAATCAAAATAATTTAATAATAAACTGTTTACTTTAAATTTATATCTAATGTTTAAAGATGAGGGTAAAGTGATAAAGAATCTAATAAATTTATAGTTCCTACTTCTCCAATTTAATTTTCGCTATTTTACAAAGCATTTTTTAATTTATACCAGCAATATCAAAGTTTATAATTCTTAAAAAAGATCAATTTATTATCACAGTAATAAAAAAATAAAAAAAACAATAATATCTTGGTTTCTTTTTTTCTTGCTTTTTGTTTTTTATTTTCTTTCTTATCTTATCAAAACCATTTATAAAACAATTTTACGATAAATGCAGTCCTAAAGTTTAGAGATTTACTAAATTTGCTAATCCTGAAAATGAATCCTTTTGTCCTGAAAACACAATTTAATTTGATCTTTTGTATATAAAATTATTTGTATAATAAAAATTAAATTTAAATAAGAGCTTAATAATCCGATTAGATAAATCATAAATAAATAAATAATTTTATTAATAATTTAACTAAAAAAACTGAAGATGCTAAATAATTTTCTAAATTAAATTCTTATATGTAAGACTATTCCAAATAAAAATTTAATTGAAAAATAAAAATTTTTACCCAAAATCTATGTTTAAAGTTTAGAGGCTAGCACTATTAGATATGATTGACAAAAATGCATTTACTCCTTTCAGAGTAATTTTATTTTTACTATTAAATAAAAATTTAATTTACATTTATCTTTTCATTTGTCAAATATGTAAAAATAAATAGCTAAGGATGGTTAGATGGGTATATAACCTTGAAAAATCTTAATAAAAAAACAGATCTAACAAGAATAAATTAAATCTTATTTAAAATTTAGCAAAAATTAGATAAATTAAATAAATTTATAAGTTATTGAGAATGATTATTAGTTTAATAGTTAGCTTTCTTTTTTTTAAATCTTTTTCAGTATCGAAAAACTATTTTTTTTTCAATTTTACTAGAAATTTAAATTCAAAGTCTAGAGATTAATAATTTTTCCAAGATGAGTTCCTACAGCTGATACAATTTCATCATTAATAAAATTTTTCCTTTTAAATTAAAATTTATTTTAAATTTAACAAAAATTCAATCTAAACTAAAATTAAATCAAAAAAGGAATTAAGATTTATTTATTTATTTACTTTTTGAAATTCAATCCTTTTTAGATAAAAAATAATTAATATCCAAAATTTTATTAAACCAAAGCAATAAATAAATTGAAAAGCTTTTAATTCAATTTTTATATTTTTGATTTTAAGAATAAAATCTATGAATGATTGAATAAATGCAAAATCTAAATTGTAAAAAACATAGCTAACTCTTGATTATTTTATTTTTTACATTAGTTATTAAAATAAAAATGTATCAATCATATTAAGATGTGAGAGGGAAGGAGTTGGTAAGTAAAAAATATAATTTTTTTTATTTCAAAAACATAGAAAATTAGAATTGAAAAACCTAAAGTTTTTTTAATGAAAAAATTTTTTTGGTATTTTTAGTAAAAAGAAAATGAATGAAAAAATTAAAAATATTTCAATAGTTATTTTAATATGAAAATTTTTTTACGAGAAATCAATCTATACAGTCTTGAGATTTGGACATTTTGCTATAGCAGAGGCAAAAAGGATAGAATTTTTATCACGGAAACCACAATTACTTTTATATTAAATAAAAATAAATATGTAAATCATAATTATCAGAATATGTATGTATGTATTAATGTATGAAAGAATGAATGAACGAATGGAACAAAAGAATGATAAAGCAAAAAAAATATTATTAATTATTACTATTATATTATTTTTAGATTTTAAAGATTTTGGCAACATGATAAAGCATTAGCACAGCTTAGAATCTCTTGTATTCCATGAATTCTTTATGGTAAAATTTAATTAATTATCAGAAAATATCAAAAAAATATAATCAGCTAAAGGATATTTTTCTCAATTATTTATTTATTTATAATTATATATCTATCAGATACACTAAAAAAATATATTTTAAATTAAATAAAAGAGGCAAGCTAAGTTTACTGAATTGTAAGCTTAAGATTAATATGAGACAACACTGAAGATAAAATAAACTTTTTATAATTTAATTTAAAATCAATTTTTAATAAATTAAAAAAAAGTAATAACTTACTTCATCTAATGTAAAAACGTCTTTTTATATTTCAATCATTTTACTTCCTCTTTTTTAATTTATTATTTTCTTCTAATTATTAATTGCATAAAAATAAATTATTAAATATTATCATTCGTATTTAAATTAAATTTTTGAAAAGAAAATTAATTTTTCTGACAGAAATCATTAGTTTATTTATTAGATGCTTAGAATTAATTAAGCTAAAAAAAAAAAGATTTTTGAACTTTAAATACAAAATAGGTAATCTGAGAATTTTAAAATTAGGAAAATTTACTTCAAATTAGACACTATAAAATTGGTAGAGGAATGTAAATAAATATAAACTTATTTCATCTCACAACATATTAAATCTGATAATAGATCCGTTGATTAATTTAATGACAAGTGTGTTGCATTTAACCTACTTTAATACATTAAAAAAGGTAGTTAAAGCTTTAAGATATAAAATTCTAAGAAATTAAAAAGAAATTTAAATTTGTTAAGTATATATAAATATAAGCTTTAAAATAGATATTTTGTTTATATTACTTGCAATAATTTAGCTTGATGTAAATAATTTATTTCAAGGATAATAAAAAAATATAACAAATCAAATGCTTAGAATTAATTAAAATAAAAAAAAATAATATATTTTTGAACTTTAAATATAAAATACCTAATCTGAGCATTTAAGGAAGAGGAAAATTTACTTCAAATTAGACACTATAAAATTGGTAGAGGAATATAAATAATTATAAACTTATTTCATCTCAGAACAGATTAAATCTGATGATAGATCTTAGAAATTTAACTTTGTTAAGTATTTATAAATATAAGCTTTAAAATAGAAAATTTGTTTATATTACTTGCAATAATTTAGCTTGATGTAAATAATCTATTTCAATGATAATAAATAAATATAACAAGTCAATCGAAATTCATTAAAATTATTTAATTTACTTTCTACTAATTATCAATACATTTTATTTATCTAGTTATATTGCAACTTTTATATATTTATGACAGCTAATCAATCAATCGATAGAGTTAGTATTAAATTTACTAATTAAAAAATTTAAACTAGTTAGTTAAATAAAAATATCTTTCTAAAGAGAAATAATTTAAGAATTAAACAATAAATTATTATTTAATTAATATATAATGAATAGAAAGTATGTACAAACATTTGTTATTTTGTCTTATTTAAATTAATATCACTTTTATTTGATTTTATTATTTAAAATTCATAATCTATTTATTTATTTGTTATTTTATCTATTTTTGAAATTTATTTATTTATTTATTTTCATTTATATGATTTATATGGAAAATTAAAATTTTGGTTAAATAAATAAATAATTTCTAGCAGCTTTCAAGTGTCTGATTGTTTATGAGTTTGATCTATTAAATATTTTATAAATGCCCTTATATTTCTGTTTTCTTTCATCACTTTTAGAGGAATCATATTCAGCATTTAAATTGTTCGATTTATCTATTAAAAATTAACAAATAAATTAAATTTTTGGTTAATTTTTTATAAAATCAATTAATTAATTTACTTCCACATTCATATCAGATATTTTAGGTAGCCAAAATATCAAAAATATTAATATCAAAAATATATTAAAAAGTATAACTAAAAGTGTTTCGAGGTTGTTTGTCGTTTAAATACTTGCTGTTAAGGAGTCATTTTCAGCAGAAGTAAAGTACTGAATTAAAGGATCAACAAATTTTTATAACGAAATATCTAAAAACATTTGATAAAGTAAAATATTTTAAGTTAAATTCTAAGTAAAGATAAATAAAAAAATTATGCAAATATTAAATGAGTTGTTAATCTGATTAGATTTATTCTTAAAATAAAATACTGTAAATGCTCATTAATTAAGGCATTTTTTTCTTTAATTTTTTTTTTTTAGATTATGGTGGGGCACTTTTTTTTAGGCAAAAAAGATACTAGGAAATGCCTTAATTAATGAGCATTTAGAGTATTTATTTAATTGAAAATCTATTTTTTTGGTTTTAAAAGGATTTTATTTTTAAAATTTCATTGATAACAAAAGCTAATAAAATTATGAGAAATAAATTTGCCAATTAATTAATTTATTAATTTAAAATTATTAACATAAAATTCATTAATTGATATTAAAACAAAAAGCAATTAAAGACTTTAATTATAATTAAATAAAGTGAAATATTTTTTATTTATTTAAATTTTACTTGTTTCTACAAAGAATTTATCTTTAGATAAGGTTGAACTCTGAGCATTATTAACTAGGAGCTCATTTAAAGTTTATTAAAAGTAAGAAGCATAAAATTAGATAGCGTTGTCCAACCCCTTTTAAATTAGAATATTAAATAATTAAATTCATGAATGTAAATAAACTATTACAATTTATAAACTGTTGTTTATATACATTTAACATTCAGATTGAATTTCTTAATCAAGTAAGCTACACCCATTCATGTAAAAAACTTTATAATAGGCATTTTCGATATCGTCATAGTTATTTAGAATATCGAAATTAAACTTTTATTTATTAATTTAGAAAAGTAAAATACAAATAAATATTTATTAAAAATAAACAATAAATAAATTAATAATCAAGATTTTTACTTATTAAAGCTTTCCGTTTCTACCAAGAAGCTTATTATATTGATTAACTACATAATTTTGAGCTGTAATATTTTCTATTGGGTAGTTTGGATTAATTAAGGTTATTTTTAGCACGTTAAAGTAGTTTTAGAATTTGTATGATATATTTAAGTCGTAGGAATATTAATCTATAAGGGAAGAAATCTATGATTGCAATTTTATTACTTCAGCAAGATCAATAATTGAGTAGATAAATGAAAAGGCTAAAACAATAAAGCACTTTAAGATCATAAATTGCTGCCCTCTGAATTTATGTTTTTTATAGTTTTTAATAATTTTAATTCTTTTTTTCATTATTTCCTTTTCTAGTTCTTTTTCATCTTCGTTTGTAGTTTATTAATCATCTTTATATAATTTTCTTGTGTTCATATCTCCTATTTTTTTATTTATTTATTTATTTTTGTTTATAAGTTGTATTTAGCAAAAAATTTACTGTCTTAGTCTTCATCATCTGAGCTGTCCTGACCTTGATTTTCGTTTCGATTAATAAGTTCTTGAATTGAGACGTACTTTTTAAGAAAGGAATCACAATTTTTATAAAGAAAATTTATATGTTTGATTGGAATATCTAAAAACAAGAAAAGAATATTCTCTCTTTAATCTTTTAGTGATATCATAAAATAAATGAACAGTATCATATTCAATATTCCAATAGTTCCAAGAACAAAAAAAGCAGCTATCAATTCATATTAAGGAGAATTTAGTCTATTATTAACTGCCTATTAATTAAATTATTATATTAAGATAATTTTCTCATAAATATGAATATATATATATATATTTACATCATAAATTTGCTGATTTTACTATTCAATGAATTCCCCTATTGTGTGATAGTAGTTATATATAATACTATTAAAATATCCATTATCTAAGCTAATTTAAGAATCATCTTAAGAAATTATAAGTGCGCCTAGTGATACCAACTATTTATATACATACAATTAATAATAGTTAATTAAAAAATAGAATTTTTTTGGCTTCTTAAAGATTATTGATATTTTTTGATAAAATAATAAGTCTTAATTGTAAAGAAAAGAAAATACTGAGTTAATTAATTAGTCATTATCCACAATTTAAATTCGGAAGTTGTTTTATAGTGAAGATGAAAATATTTTCATTTGAGATGATGATTAGTTATCAGCAAAGTAATCTAAATAACTATCTCCTATAGAAGTAGTAATGTTTGATATAGAAACTATTGTTGAAGACATGTTTTATCTGATTTCATCCATAAAGATATAATTTGGGAAATATAGATCCTGCTTTATGTAGACCAAATCTATTGCTTAAGAGACTATGGATACAGCTTTAAAGTTTCTTTATGAGAATTCAAACATAATGTCCATGTCTTCTGAGTATTAATTAAGTTTTATTATTGTCAAAGCGCATTAGAAAATGCTGATTATTAATATACACATGAGCCACATAAAGCTTACCCATTTAAAAATGCTAATCAATTGATGCTGATTTTAAAATAGTAATTTATTTATTAAGACAGAATAAAATTAAATAAATAAAAAAATAAATGTTACTTTGTGATCATAATTTAATGATTTCTAAATGATTTATGATGTATTATTCTGATTGAATACTTCATATTCTTCTTAGCTTTAATAATAATTATTTTCATTTTTAAAAACACTATCTTCGTTATCTTCGTCTTCCTCTTCTTAGTTTTCCTGTTAATTTAAATAAACAAAGTTTAAATTAAATTCACTTTAAAAGTATAAAAATAAAATGCAACTATTGATTAATATTTTAATAAAATAGCTTTCAAGAAAAGAATTATAAATTTATTGAAAACTAAATTTTTTATTATTGATTGAGTGATCCAGTGCAAAATAAAAATTAATTTATTCAATCAATAATATTTAATTATCACATTCAATAAAAATTATTTAATATGCTTTTTACTAAAAAAATGGCATAATCATTATCTTCCCTCATATGTTTTATTAAAGTTTAATTAAATAGTATTTAAATACCAATAATTGTTTTAGATATTTATTAATTAATTACATTGTCGTCTCCATCGTAAATGTTAATAATTTAATTATTGAAAAGTCTTTTTGTCTTAATGTCTTTTGAATAGTTTTTGGTTTCTTTCTTAACCATAGAATACTAATTTGTAGAATCATCTTCATCATAGAAAAATGTTTCATCTTCAGCTGGCGTTTTGTAAAAATCAAATAGAAATTTTGAAAATTTATTTTGCTTTTACTAACAGTTATTGACGACCTCTTAGTTTGAGGAAGAAGAGAGATCGTTTTCTGCTAAATTATTTTATTCTAAAACTATCATAGGAAATGAACTCTGTGAATTATAGTTTTTTTGCTTGATCAAAACATTTCTAGCACTGCCTCTATTGCTACTAAGAGGAAGAGGAGAATTATCATTCGTAATTTTTTTATTAAACTACAAATTTTATATATTCAGATTGAATACATGTCCATTATTATTTGTAGTTGATTGGGGTGCGTTTTTACTACTTTAAGCTTCTAAGGAAAAAAGATTTTACATGCTGAGATTAGTCATACTCAGATTGTTTGCACTAGATATAATTGGTATATTTTACACAGGGCTACTTAATGGTAAATTAGGAGAATAATTTATTTAGCTTTAATCTTTTAGCTTAGTAGTTTCTTCTCTATAAGTGTCTCTGTAAGTATTTTCAGTTACTGTATCTCTGTAAGTATTTTAAGTTATTGCATCTCTGTATGTAAACTATGCATCCCTATATGAATTGAGATTCTCTTTTTGAATGTCTTTTATATAATCTTTAAAGGTTTCTTTTGGATTTAAGTTTGAAGGCATTGATAAGTTTTAAAAAGATGTATTAGAAGGTGCATTTAAGCTGGGTTGTTAAAACTATTATTGTATTTGCTATTAATTTATTATCATTCCTCTTTCTAATTTATCTATTTTAAAAATGTAACCCAGAATTTCATATGTTAGATATTGTTCCTCATCAATTGCATCTTTATTTTCGATTGGCACTAGCTGCGTTTAGCAACTCACCATAAAAGCTTAATTGTTGAAATTAAACTCTTTCCCTTTTTTCAAGTAAACTTCTTTTTCTGTTTCGAAATCACTTATCTATATTTTTATCAAAAAATTGTTTTAAGTAATGATTTATTTATTAATAGTAAATTTTTTGCAAAAAATTTTAAAGGTAGATCATTCATTTAAATAAAACAAGTTATAGTGAAATCTCTCACTAAAATTTATTGGGAAATTAAGAAAAATTACAAGTCCTGTTTTTATTTTTCATTAAAATGCTTTATTTTTTCATATCAAAAATATTTTATTATTTTAATTAATTACAATGTTTTCAATGCCAAATTTAATGTCGTTTTTTATCATGGCGAGATTAATGTCAAAGTATGTGATAGCTGAGCTAGAAATATCTGTAACAATAAAATCCTCATTTGTAAGTATGATTATTTAGCTTCTAGTTTACATATCTGCTTCAATATTTACATAAAATTTAGTATAATCATCTGATAACGGTTTCACATTATATGTAATTGGGAATATGTAGCCACTCCTGTGCCTTCCAAATCTTTATTGAGGATTATCAATGTAATTACTAATGTAATTCCCTTAAATCATATTATCATTCATTTATTAGATTAGAGTTTCATGAATGTCGGTAAATTAGTTTGGTAGAATTACTTTTAATTCTTTTCCCTGTATTTCTTCTTTTTAAAATCCAAATAAGACAGAAAATAGAAGATTTATTGCCTAAATTTATGTATTTGACTGAAATTTTTTATAAGTAACTAAATAAGGCCTAGGATCATTAATCAAGTCTTCAATATCATCAATTTTTTATGTTTTCTATTATAGTTTAGCCAGCTCTCTTCCTTTTTACAATAATTCAATTCCTTGCTCTCTTTAATTGAGTACTCTAATCAAATATTATCCAAAAACCTATACAAATATATCAAATTATTTCTATATTTCAAAAATATCATTAATTATTTTTTACTTTATAAGGCTATGGCAACTAATTATTTATTTTAAGCATTCCGTTAAAATGTTCCTTTGATTTGTAAACACATTAACTGATTCCCGAACCTAAAATATTTAGCCTTCCAAGAGCTATATTATTGTCTTCTCGAAGATTTGCCCAAAATTCTTTGTGTTTGGCAGCTGCTAATTTCATATATTCTTCGCATTAAGACATGTGTGAATCGAATTCTATTTTTTTAACAACATCATTTTCCTCTTCCTCATCTTCATCTTCTTCTTCCTAGCTTGAGGATATCTACTCCATATATCTGTAAATAATAAATTATTCATCAAATGTAGGTTTTGTTGTCATGCTTAGCTTGAATTGGACTAAGGCTTCTTCTTTCTTTTTAAAATATAAAATAAATAAATAAATAAATAAATAATTCATTCATTCTCTTTCAATCGAAATTATTAATTAAGAATCAAACTACCTTTTTTAATCTTTCAAACAGAAAAAATGCATAAGACAACCTCAGCTTTGTACATGTAGGAAATTTTCTCAACCCATTTTGATAAAGTCTTCCGAGCTCCTTTTTTATTAAATTAAATTACATAAACAACTTTCTTCATTTATTATTTTTTATAATATAGCTTAATATATAATTTATTTGTGTAGAATTACTTTGATAAGATTTTTAATGATTTCATCCATTTCAATATCAGCATGCTTTCCTTTTCTTGTTTTTTTAATTTTAAGAGGGCAATCTTCTTCTTGACAAACTTCTTTGTGTTTTTCAACATAACCAATTAGTAACATATATGAGTTTCTATCTGTTTTTTAAGTGCCTATTAATTCAAGTACGTATCTTAAATGCCCTTGTATTTACTCACCACTGCGAAATTTCGTTTGACTTGTGATAAGAGTATCTATTCTACTCTTCTTCGAAGTGAGCATAATAAAACATATAAAAGGTAGACCTAAAATCCAAATAATCAAACCTCCATTAAATTCAGTCTCATAAAATACTAAGCTAACTAGCAGCATAACGTTTGTCCATAGATAATAAGTAGTAGCTATATTAAAAAATTTTCCAACCTATTATTTAAAACAGAGTATTTATTTCAGTCAGTAATACAAGTAATTATTGCAAATAAATAAATAGATCAAAATATAAATAAAATTGAATCAATTGATTGTTTAAATTAATTTATAAATTCTTTATTCAGTTAATTTAGACTCTTTTACTCAAGAAAAAAATTAATATTTTTATCAAGTCAATTTACAAATTTGTCATAATATGGTTCCTCGAAATTATAAGACCAGTACAAACAGGCACTAAAGGTGAAAGAAAGAAGAACTAAAAACCAATCATTTCCTTCAGGAACAAAATTAAATAGAATTTAGCATGCAACTTTGGTAATAATAAAAATAACTTCTGCTAATGAATCCTTTTTATAAAAATAAAATTAAAATTATTATTTGAATAATGTTAATATTAATTAGAATGCAAAAAATAGGAGTTAGTTCATCAAAATATAACCTTAATAAATAGTTAGATAGATAATATTTATTTACTTGTCTTGCTGTTTTGTTCTTTGATGTCATTCGAGGCTCAAAGAAAGTTAACGCTACTATGCTACTTATAATGACGAAAATGAGATTAAATAATGAGGTAACAATTTAATGGACTAGCATCCATCCCTTCCAGCACTCAATAGTTTCAAATGTAGCTAAGCTTTGAACACCTTCAGCGTTTTTCTCACACTCTAAGACGGAGAATAGGTTTTCAGTGATTGGTAGAAAAAAAACAGTGACAAAGTAAGAAGTAACTTAATTAAGAATTTTGAGAGGCCAAGTAATGCTAAACTTTTTTTGAGAGAAAGAATAAGAGACATATAGAATATCTAGAATGATGAGTAGAATAATAAAATCTAGAAAATAAATCCCTATTATATAAGTGACGAAGTTGATGTGTGGCATATAATTTTTGATGTGAAAGACATTGAATAATTAAAAAATAATTTATAGAAATGTGGTTGCTTTCCAAACGTGTTGAAGTTTTGCATGAAAAGGAAAAGAGTGCATTTGCATATAATCGACTCCTGTCATTATGAAGACCATCTAAAATATTTTAAATTAAAAATTTAGTGAAGATTATTTAACTATGGATTAAGTAAATAATTAGCTAAGATGGCATTTAGTTTGCTTAATTATGTTTAAACTAGAATCAGAAAACTAGCTAAAAAATATTTTACCAATACTTCTTCTTCTTCATTTTTAAGGAGGACTGAGAGGACTTAAAAGGAAATATTTTTAATTTTTAGAAAAAAACTTTCCAAACTAGATTCCTCATGTAATATATCAACTTTGCCTTTTGGGTGGCTTTCTTAATTTGCCATATTGTTTTTTATTGAATTTATATTGACTAAATTTTAAGAGATATTTCACTCTACTTAAAGAATAAAGTGTTTCTCAAAGTTTAATTAATAAAAAGATAAGCAAAAAAATAAACATATAATTGAACGTTTAATTTAAAATTGCATACATTAAAAAATATGATGCATACTTAAGTATTAATTTATTATTTTGTTTGTTTTAGTTAAATTTTGATATTATTTAGTTGTTAACTAATAATATGTTGATTGATATACAAATCAATTTTCGTAGCCCACTTTTTAAAAGCTTACAAATATTTATTTATTTATTATCAAAAAGATTTCCTCTTAAAACTCCTAAACAATCATTTCTGTTTACATTTTTTATTTAACAATTAAAAAGCTGAGAAATTACAATGATTTAACACTATTTAATTACTATTAATATTCTTTAATTCAATTTACATTTTTATCTATGAAATACTTTAACAAAACGAGTGGATAAAAATTTTTATAGAATTTTATTACAAAATATTATAAATAAAATACATTTTTTTATTAAAAATACTTTAAAAATAATAATTTTTTTTTGTCTTTTGTTAGAAATATTTTACAAAATTAAAAAATTATTTTCAAGTAAGTAGATTTTTTCACTTTTTAAACATTTTTCTCTATTAATCTATCAACTTTTTAACAAACATTCTAATTTTATGATTTTCTTTGATTACTTTAAGTGGTATCATATCGAGCATTGTTATAGTTCTGTTTATCTATTTTAATAAATAAATAAATAAATTAAATTAAATTTTTTTTAAATTGTTAATTTCTAAGAGTTATTTTTAAATTTTAGAATGAATTATAATGATATTTAATGATAAATATTTAATTGATTTTATATTTTTGTTTTAGGCTTTATCAGAAAATTATTTTTTATTTAGAATTAAATTTATAAAATCATTTTAAAAAAAATAAAAAATAAGAATTAAATAATTAAGAAGAAATCAAAAATTCAATAAAAAGTTACTTATGTATTCATGGAGCTAATATTGGGTAGCCAAAATATTATAAATAGAAATATTAAGAACAACATAAACAATATCAAAATTAATGTCTAAAGTCTTTTCGTTGAGCTAATATCTTCATCTACAATATCATTTTCTTTCGTGGTAAATTATTTCATTATTGGATAGATATGCTTATACAAAGAGACATCTTAGTTTGAAAAAAAAATTAGATAAAATTCTTTTATAAAATATTTTGATATAATACCTCCTTCTACCATCTCTTTTCTAAACAAAATATTATCTGGATTGACTTTGTCAATTAAGCCTTAAGTATTAGCTTCGAACAAAGCAAAATAGAACTACATCACATTATCAATTCCCTATATAAAATTTTTAAATTAAATCTTAAGAAAAGTAAAAATAAATTGATCAAAAATTAAATTAAATATAAAATTTAAAAGGAAAATTATAAATACAATGTAAAAAATAGAATTTGTATTAACAAAAATTAATTGAAAAATAAAAAAATATTTAATAGAAGAAAAAAAATTAATTTATTCAATTCGTCTAAATTATTAAAACTAATTTTATGATGAATTTAAAGCTAAATCAATTTTGGAATAAGAAAATAATTTGATAAATTAAGTTAATTATTAGATTTTATAACAATAATAATTTAATAAATAAAATATTTAATTTTAAAAAGAGGAAAGAAAATAAATAAATAGCCAGTCTTATCTCAAAAAAATTAAGATTGTTAATTCAATTTAAAAGTAAAATTATTTTTTTTTAAATTATTTAAGAAAAATTTTACATATTTTATACTTCCTTCTATCATTGCTTGACATTATTATTATAATGATTGTTCTTCCAGCGACAAGCAAGCATTTTGATAGTATACGTTTAAATAGAGATCTCTTATTTAAAGCTATTCATTCATTATCTTGAAATTAAACTAAATTATAGAAAAAAATTAAAATAGAAGCAGAATTAAATAAATAAATAAATTTATTTTTTTTACATCTCCGATTTAACTATTTCTTCCTAAAATATATTTATAATTTTAAACTGAGTAATTGAAAGCAGTCGTATTAGCAATTGGATAGTTTTATTATAAAAGCATTATTTTTTAAACATTTAAATCATTTCCAATATTTAAAACTATTTATAAATCATAGAAGTATTACTCCCATAAGAAATTAACAACTTCTTTTGTGCTCATCATTGTTAAAATATTGACTATTGCAAAAGCTAGAGACAAAATTATCATCAACAGGTGCTTGAGCACCATCACTTCTTAACCTTAAAATTTATTTTTTTTATAATTTTCTATATTTTTTCTCCTTTTTTTCATAATTTCTTTTTATTGCTCCTTTTCATCTTATTCAATGTCATGGTCTGTTACTTTAAATCTAGTATAATCAGTATCTGTTAATATTTACACAAAAATCATTAAATTTCTTCTTTAAAAATATTTATAAATAAAAATTAATAGATCTATCAATGAATATTTTAATTGGTTTACTAATTTCTTCTTATTCGTCATCAGAGCTCTCGTAGCCTTAAACTTCACTTTTTTAAATCATTTCTTAAATTGAAGTGAATTTTTTCAAAAAAGAATCACAATTTCTATAAAGGTAATTAATATGCTTGAGAGGGATATCCAAGAACAAAAACAGAATGTTTTCCCTTTCATCTTTTATATATACCATCAGGAAAATTAGACTAGTAGTACTTGCAGTACTTAGTACTGTTAAAATAACTATTGAAATAATAAGACTATAATCTATAGAATCTAATTTATTTCTTATAATCTTTTTGTTAGATAAAGAAAGTAAGTTTAATAAATCTTATTATAATTGTTTGATCTTTAAAAAATAATTTTTCAAAAAATTAAATTTTTATAAAAATTATTTTAATTAACTTTCTAAAAATTCAAATTATATTTTAATAATAAAATAAACAAATTTAAATTATTCAAGTGAAGAGAAGAGTTTTAAATTAATTTACCTAGCTTATATGTTAGGTTTAATTCATCATATATGCTTGAATAAAATTATAGTAGTTATATATGATAGTGTTTACAATCCCATTATTTAGATTTACTTATTATGGATTCTAATTGGCAACGATAGCACAGAGTGAAGTTAACTTTAATTATTTTATAAATTAGATAAATTTGGTTTTCTGATTAATTAATAAAATAATATTTACTAAATTGAAGAAATTTTATGGTTCAATTTGCTGTACAGCAACGGGATCGGTTAGTTTACCAGAATAAAAGTTTATATTGTATAAATTATGATCAACACCAATAAACTGGAATTCTTAATATCTCATGCTTGAGGTTAAATTAGATGCCTATTATATTATGGAGCTAATATCTTACTAAACGCTTTCAAAAGTTAAATAGCCTGACAAGTACTTGTTTTAAGAAAGTAAAACCAAATCAATTACATCTGAAACTAAGTAAGTATTTATAGTATTTCTATCAGAAAGTGTTTAAACAAGATCAATAAAATTAGAATAATCATTCAGTTGTTGCAGTGAATATACAAATTAAAATATGCTTATTCCTAAAATAATTAGCAACCATAAGATACTGATTTACTCGAAAAGTTAAATTGATTTATGCTATTTATTTTTAAAAAATATTTATTAGATATTAAAATATGTTAAAAAAGTGTAATAAATATATTAATTGATTTGAAAAAAATCATAAATTGATGATTTTTACTTTCAATAATTAAGAGTTTTTAAATTGAAAAATACTTAATTTTAAATGAAATTTGAAAGAACTTAATTGAATTAATGCAAATCTATTTTTTGAATGACAAATAAATTTTATTTTTATTGAAATTTACTCTGTATTCCGTATTTAAGGCTCTATTTATAATTTGAACTATATCAGGCTAATTAAATACTACATATTCTTTCTTAGACAAATAGTAATCTTCTTTATTTTGATTAAATACACTATCTTCGTTATCATCATCATCATCAGATTACTATTTCAATTAAATATTTTATTTAATCAATATAAAATAAAATTAAGATGAAAATTTACTATGTCATTTAAATCACTTTCGTAAACATTAACGACCTAGTTGTTAATTAGCCTTTTAATTTTGATATCTTTTCCATAATCTTTTTAATCTTACAATTTAGAACTCAAGCTTGTATTTTAATCATCTCCAAATGAGTCATCTTCGAGAGGCGTTTTGTAAAAATCAAAAATGAATCTTGATAAATTATTTACTTTGTTGCCATCTCCAAGAATTTAGTTCTATGAATTTATTTCGTTTTCTGATAAACTATTTGACATAATTTTTTTTTATTCCACTAGAACAATGGGTGAAATCTCTATTTCATATTCTTCTCCATGGTTTTTCTTTAAGTTTAAACTCCTAGAGCTATTTTATTATACACCCAACTATCCTATTAAGTCAGTTTAATTTTTGCTATTTGCAGAGTTATTAATTTTTAATTTAGTAATTCTATTGTTTATCTAATTATTGCCTTCTGCTAAATTTTAATTATTACTTTGATAGCTAGTATTTATGGCTGCATTAGAATTGTATGTAGGGGTATTTAAAGTCTGCATTATCGATATGTTTTAAAAAGAAGTTATCTCTCTTGCAGAACCTATTTGAATATTTTTTTAACTGAAACTCGTAGTAGGTCCTTACAAGACAACCGCTGGTAGCTTAGCATCTTATAGAGATGAATTTTAAAGTGACTCTTTATGACCTACTTATATTAAATTTTTCTCAAGTTTATCTAACTTTAGCTGAAACCCAATTAGCTCATATCTAAATTACTCATCATTATCAAAAGCATCTTTGATTTCAATAGGAATGAGTAATTTAGTGCTATTGCAAAAATATTATTGTTGATTAAAGGTAAACTCTTTTCCTTTTAGAACGTAGGTATCTTAATCTTATTCCCAATCAGGTATCTTAATTATTTTAGAATTAATAAATAATAAAAAATTTTTAAAAATCTAATTTTATTCTTTAAGTAAATATAAAGAGTAAATAAATAAATAACTAATTAATTAATTAATTAATTCAATTACTATTGAAGAGATTTTGATTGAAAGTTTTTAATTTTTCAAAATAGATGGATTTAAGTCAAAATTTGTGAGGGCTGAGCTTGAAAAATCAGTAATTTCAAAGTTATCATTTATCATAATAAATATAGCATTTTTAGCTGATTAATCTGCTTCGAAGGTGGCACAATACTTAGTAAAATCTTCATTTAATGGTCGAATATTGTAAATAATAGGAAATATGTATCCGTTTCTATTTTTAGCAAACCTTTATTAAGGATTATTCAAATACTAACTTCTAAAATTAGATTAGTTCACATTTTCTTGAAATTAGTCTACTAAACTTTCGTGGAAAGGAACGTACAAATTAGGCAAAATAAAGCTGAGATCTTTGCCAATAATTTCATCCCTTTGGTATGAAAAAAATACAGAAAATAATAAATTAACATTTTAGATAGTAGTTTATCCTGCTCTTCTCTTTTAAGTTATAATAAAAGGAATAGGTTCATTTTTAAAGCTTTCTATATCCTCTTTTTTTTAGCCCTTATTTCCAGATTCTAAAGCTATTTCTCTACCCTTTTAAACCATTTCTAATCCTGCCTCTTTCTGGTTTAGAACTTTTATTAAAAACTATCCATAAACCTAATTAATACATTTAAAAATATCAATTTGCTTATCAATCCTTTTATTTTATGTATAATTAAAAATACCTTGAAAGGCTATGGAAATGAAGAGTTTATTTTAATCATCCTTGTAAAGTGGTCTTTAGCCTTAAACACATACTGACTAATACCAGAACCAAGAACATTCAACCTTCCCAAGGCAATGTTGTTATCTTCTTTCAAATTAGCCCAAAACTCCTTGTGTCTTTATGCAGCTAATTTGATGTATTCCTCAAATTATGATAAGTGAGACTCAAATTCTATTTTTTTTACAACATCTGTTTCTTCCTCTTCATCTGATTCTTCTTCCACTTCTTCAGAGCTCTATGAAATCATTTCGATATATCTATAAATGATGAATTATTCGTCAAAAGTAGGCTTTGTTGTCAAGCTTATCTTGAACTAAGCTAAAGCATCTTCTTTCTTTTATTCATTTATTTATTTAATTATTTGTATGTATATATGTTTATTTGTTTATATATAAAAATATAAAAGACTGTAATAATTTTAGTGATACCTTTTTCAGTCTTTCTAACAAAAAGAAAGCATATGACAGTCTTAGTTTAGTGCAAGTTGGGAATTTTCTTAAACCATTCTGATAAAGCCTTCCTAATTCCTATTGAAAGTTTACTTTAGTTGAGTTTAAAATTATATTAATTTACTCTGATTAAATTTTTAATAACTTCTTCAATTTCAATATCTAATTGTTTGCCTCTTCTCATCTTTTTTCTTTTTAGAGGGCAATCTTCTTCAGTGCATGTTTCTTTGTGTTTTTCTACATAACCAATCAGTAACATATAAGAATTTTTATCATATTTTTAATTTTGAATCAATGTTAGCACGTACCTTAAATGATTTTGAACTTATTCACCACTTTTAAATTTCATTTGACTGTCAATAAGAGTCTTAATTTTACTCTATCTTTTAGTTAGCATGATTAAAATGATAAATGGAAGACCGAGAATCCAAATAATAAGTCCTCCATTAAAGCTCGTCTCATAAAAAATAAGGCTAATAACTAGCATCGTGTTTGTCCATAAATAATAGGTAGTAACTATATTAAAGAAAGTTCCAACCTTAAAAAAAAATATATTAATAAGGTTTATTATCAATCAAATATTGTCGTCAAATGCAAATGAAATAAAATGTTGTTTATTTGCCTTAGATTGAAAATTTTTTATCAATAGGAGTTACACCAAATTTTATTTCAAATTTATCAATAAATTAATATAAAAATACCTCTTTATCATAATAGGGTTCCTCGAAATTGTAAGCCCAAAATAGAGCACAGCTCAAAACAAATGTTAGAAGTGCTAAAAACCAATCATTTCCCTCAGGAATGAAATTAAATAATACTTAGCAAGCTACTTTGGTAATAATAAAAACAACCTCTCCAATAGAGTCCTATTAGATATTATTTATTTATAATTATTTTAGTAAATTATTACTGAATAAAAACTATTATTGAAATAAATTAATTAATTAAATTTTATACTTATCTAGCAGTTCTGTTTTTAGATGTCATTCTAGGCTCAAAGAAAGTTAGTGCTACAATAGAACTGATGATAACAAAAATTAAATTGAATAAAGAAGATATGATTTGATGAAATAGTACCCATCCTTGCCAGCAAACTTAGTCGTTAAAACTAGCTAGAACCAAATGACCATTTTCTTCCTCACATTCCAAGAGAGAAATAAGAGTCTCTGTAATAGGTAAAAAGAATACAGTAACTAAATAAGAAGTAACTTAGTTAAGAACTTTCAAAGGCCAGGTAATACTAAACTTCTTTTGCGAAAAGGAATAAGAGACATACAATATATCTAAAATAACTAATAGAATAACAAAGACTAATAAATAAACCCCTGCTAAATAAGTATAAAAATTTATGCGTGGCATATAGTTTTAGATATTAAATAGATCAAAAATTTAGAATATGATATCCAAAAAAGTAGTGGCTTTCCATACATGTTTGAGCTTCTTGTTAAAAGGAAAACTAAACATCTACAAGTAGTCCACTGCCACTGCAAAGTACATGCCCTATTTGTTTATATATACATTTGTATTTTTTTAATTAATTCAAATGAATTTATAATTTATGCAAAATAAATTCTTACTAATACATCTTCTTCTTCATTTTTAAGCAGCACAGAAAGAACCTAAAATGTAATATTCTTAATCTTTTAAATAAATGCTTCTAGTGAAGAGATTTCATCTAAATTCACAGCACCTCTTTTTTTAATTTAGAGAGTTGACTCTCCCATTTCAATTTCTCACTAACTAACAAACTAACTAGCTAACTAAAAAACAAACTCGTTATTTAACTACAGAATTTTACACAAATAGAACTTATCAAATTTAGTATTTATTTTTTATATTAATAATATTCACAGGTTATTTAGCATAAACAAACAATTTATGATTCTAAAAAAATATTAAATTTAATTTATTTTTCTAAACTTAAATAAATTTACTAATCTTGATTCCTACTCCTATTATTATAATTACTATTACATTTACTGTTTACAAAATAAGTAACATATCAATTTACTAACATTATAATAAATTTAAGCCCATTTAAAATGATTGATGGACTTTATTTTAAAATCCAAAAAATTAATATAAAAAAATAAAATATTTTTGATATCATTGAAAGTTAATTGTTAAGTTTTTTTTTTAAATTAAAATTTGAATAGTCTGAAATATTTTAAAATTTTCTCATCATAGAAATTTATAATATTAAATTGCCTTTATACATTTCTCAGCTAAAAAAAATAGTCATTTGGTTACATCCAATCTAAATTTCGTAATTAATTTTAAAATATTTTTTCAATCAGAAAATTAAATAAAAAAAAGAATTCGACAAATAATAAAATAAAACTGTATTGTATAATATTTATTTCATTTTTTCTTCTTTATTTATATTAATTTTGCTTTCACTAAAGAAAATAAGAAAATTTCAAATTCAAAATATTCAAAAAATACTAATTGATTAATTTATTTATTTACTAAATTAATTAATTTTTAGATTTATAAAAACAAAGGATAATCTTCTTTTGATTAACTTAATTTTATCTGAATTTTAATTTATTTGATTTTATTTATTTATTTAATTTTATATTTTATTTGATTTATTTATTTAATTATTTCTTTATTTTATTTTTATTTTTTATTTATTTTAATAATTTATTTCTTATTTTTTCAACTTTTTTCTTTCTTTTTCTTTAAAATTAAAAAAAATATTTTAGAGTCTTTAAAGCTAATAAATTCTATTTCCTTTATATTTCTTTGGAATACTTTTAGTGTGTTAGTGTGCTATTTCAATTATTTTTTCATTCTTCTGTATGCTTTTATCTTAAAAATACAACTATGCTATTACATATTTTTATTTATTTATCTATTGATTCATTATTATAATGATGGGAAGAGGTGTTACGGATTATTTTTGACATTAAGTATGATGCTTCTTAGATTCACTTTGACTTTTAAAAACTAAATGTGGCTTACAGTCATGCATTTTAAATTTAAACGGGATTTAAAAACTTAATGGTTTAAAATGAATCTAAGGTATACCATACTTGTAATAATTACTATTTATTTATTTGATTTATTTTTTTTTCTTAATTAATTTTTCAATCAAATTATTGATTTATCTTTTTTCCTTTCCCCTATTTTAATTTTTTTAAGAATTTATTGAATAAATATTGTTCTTATAAGGTTTGTTTGAATTAAATGAATGTGCATATTTCTTTTAAATTTGGGGGAAAAAAATAAAGAAAATTAGCAATAAGTATATATTATAGATTGATTAGCTGGTCAATGATCAATAAAAATTAATAATTGATTAGTAGAGGAATATATATTAATTATTACGTATATATAATTTGCAAATATAAATAAATTGTTAGTATCACCAAACACTAAAATTAACTTTTAAGAAATAATAATTATTATAACATTTACAAATACAAAGAAGATGGATAAAAATCAGAATATTGAAGAATAAAATGATGATATGCAATAGTTAAGAGCAAGATTCTATAGCTCGATGAATTATAACGAATACGTTAACACCTTTGACAAGCCTCCTCAAAAGCCTGCTTTTAAGTATTTAAAAAAATTAATTTAAATCTCATCAAAAACAAACATTCTTAATTTATTACTTACTAACTAACTTACTTTTACACAAAAGACCAGTTAAAATGACTTTGGAAGAGTAAATTAACGAAATCAATTTGGATGACTTAAAAACTGACGACTCTTTGAAGCTACCCGAAGTGTAATGATTGAAATATATTTTAAATATTTTATGATAGAGTGAAATGCAAAGCGTACAATAAGGATAAAAATAACTTAGAAAATTTTTTTAAAAAAATTAAATAGGAGAAAACCAAGTTAATCTGTAAATTTTATGATAGGAAAGTACTCCTCTTCCTATTTAACTTAGAGTAATAATACAAATTAAGTGAAAGAGGAACCAAATTCATAAAATTCTACAACAATTGCTACTTAGTAAGCTGAATAAATTGAAGAAATTGAAGAAGAAGATTAGTTTGAGTCTGAATTCTCAATCAGCAATAATAAAATGGATTAAGGTTATAAAAATAGAAACCGCTCTCAGAGTGAGAATAGTTACAGTATATTTAACTTTTTAGAACGCACACGTAAACAATCTCTTGCTAATTGATTGATAGATTGATTTACAAATTAAATCCTAAATTATAAATTACACTCAACATAAATTTATTATAGAGTTTGATGATAAATTCACAAAAACAAACTAACAAACTCGCAATATATATTTATTTACTTTTTGAATATTATTGATTGAGATAAAATTCTTTTTAATGACCAAAAAAAATAAATTAAAATCAAATAAAGTGAAAAAGGATAGAAAATTTAATGCTTTGTTTACTTGTGAAGCGTAATTGAAATTAATTATTGAGCTGAAAATTAGCTATTGGAGTTTATTTATTCAGGAAATTTATAAATATAATCATCTTTTGTAGAGCAAAGAAAGTGACTGATTGATAAAAAGTTGATTTTTGTTTTGATATTTGTTTTCACAACTGTTTAAATTAGTTTAAATGAAAATAAACTACTTAAAAGTTTAGCTTTGAAACAAACATATTACAACTTATTAATTAGTTATTTAGTTAAGTAAGTAAGTAATTAATTATCTATCTATTCCATTAATGTTTATATAGTTTATATTTACTTTTTTCGCATCACCTTACTTCAAATTTGGTCATATAATTAACATATTTCCATTATATAATACAACAAATTTATTTTACCAACATAAATCAATTAAAATTTATTTTAGTTTTTATAAATAGAATTACTAACTTATTAAAATAATGTTGTCTAAAATTTTAAAGCTTTTATCAAATAAACTCACATAATTCTAATTATTTTTGGTGCAAACCTTATATTTTTATATTATAGAAGCTAACATAAAATGTCTATTCATCCTAATATTAAAAATTCAAATTTTTTGTTAATTACTAATTTTAAAATATTTTTTCTATTGCTCTTATATTTGTTTAAATTTATTTTTATCTACAAATATTAATTTGAGTATTAAAAATGTATTTAATATTCATAAATTCATACAAAACAAGTATACACTTAAAGTTGCAATAAGTTTATTCTATTTGATTTATTTATTTGGATTGATTTATATAATCACTACTTATTTCATTAAAATAACAGATGAAATTCCTCATTTTTATTTTTAATATTGTGTGGTATACTAGTATAAACACTAGTTAGGCCTTTACTCTATAAATTGGTTCTAATCATACATTGAGAATATTTAGGACCTAAATATAAATCCCTTAGTGGAATTTTCATCTATATTAAATATAAAATAAAATAATATTTATTTGCTTGAAATTATATCATATATTTTGTAATTGAAAGTTGAAATATTAGTTTAAAATTTGAGAATTTATTATTATCATTTTAATTGAAATATACTCCTCAATCATTTAATTTTTTACTATTAACTTTCAATTTAAAAAATCTTCCGTTTCGTCATAAATAGCTTTAATTTAATAATTTTTTTAACCAAATTGGCCAACAAATATTTAAACGAAACAAAGATTTAATTAGAAATTTTTGAAAACAAAATTATAATTTCACCAAAAAATTAAACATTTCAAAATAATTGAAATTAATTTGATGTTTTTACTTAATATTTGCCTCGTAAATTTTAAATAAACAAACTATTCAAGAATCGAAAGTTAAATTGTGTTTTATATTTATAATAAAATAGGTATTTTTGAATTATTTTATTCGCGCTTTTCAAAAAAAAAAAACACTAGCAATTTAAAATAAAATTAAAAACACAAAATGATTTATTTTATTATAAATAATTATTTCTTACATAAATTTTAAAAAAAGATAAATTATCTTGTGTCTTTTTATTGTATCACTAAGTATTTTATTAATCAAGTATTTTTATAACTTACATATTAATTTACGAACAATATAAAGATCTCTTAAAACAACAAATTATTTGAATAGCTTTCTTTGAATGGAAAAAAATATAAGCCTAAAATTTGCGGAAAAATAAAAATATTTGTTTGAAAGAATTATTGATTAGCCAAGTAAGCAAAATTAAAAATTAATTTAGCTACCAAAGTATTTAATCTGTTATGCCTTTCTCAAATTTGAGCAATACATTAAGCAGAAAATATGAAAATTAAATTAAATTAATTATTACTAAAAGCGATTATTAGAATTACTTATTCATTACTATTAAAATTTTGAAATGCATAGGATAATATTCAAATTTTTTTTTAAATTAACAATCACTCTGTGTTTCCACATAAATTTTGAATATTTTTTAAGTACTTCACCTTTAGTTTTATATATCTATTTTTATTTATTTTAACATATCTCAATTTGGTAAATAACTAATTTAAATCATCAGTAAATTTAAGTATTTTCAATCAGCTTTCCAATATAAAAATGAATGTATTAAAGGATAATTTTATAATGCCAGAGTGAGGATATAAAAGAAATATATAAATTTGAAAGTATTAAGTATATATTTTACATATAATTCAAATCTGATAATATATTAAACTTAAAAATTTTGAAAGAATAAATTAAAAATACTGCTTTTAATTAAATATTTTAAAATAAAATAAAAACTTGTTTCACAATTATACGTTTTTTTTGTAATTTAATCAAAATATTTAAGTAGTAATTGTTATTTTAACTATTACGTAGATATGAAGAATCTATCTTTTTATTATCCGAATATAAGATATCTGATGAATTTATTTCAGATAAAAAATAACAAATAAATATTCATAAACATGAATACAAACAAATACAAATACATATTTATTTATATGTTATGTGTTTTAATATTTGCTTATTTTGTGAAGAGCCTAATATTAAAATTTATGACAGTCAGAAATTCTAAATGAAATAATATTTTTGGAGGAGTGAAATCGATAAATGAATGAATGAATGGACTTATTTATATTAGCTTGTTTTAATTAATGCTAGAGAATAAATGAAATTGCAAATAAATTAATCAATCAAATCAATGAATCAAATCGGTGAAAAAAGCAAAAAACTAAAAGATTATTTTCTGTTAAGTATTGAAAATGAATTAAGCTGAAAAAAATAAATAAACAAACAAACATCTATTTCATAATAAGGCTGGTTAATAGTCATTAGTATGTTTTTTAAAGGAATATGAAAAACTGAAGTCTTTCAATTGATTGGAGCTATAAAATGAAAGGAGTAAAAAAATTTAAAAAGTAAAAACATTAAACACTTTAAAATAAAAAGAAAGCGTCTTTTTTCAATAAAGAGAAAGGAAAAATCAAAAAAAGTTCTAAAAGGGCGAAATAACTTAAAAAAATGAATCTAGGGGATAAACAAAAGAAGCCAGCAATCACCAACCAACCCAGTAAGAGAATGGCTACTGGGTAAGGCCAGAATAGCAAAGACTTAAAGCCTTAGTAATATTTAAAATTTGTTTAAATACTATTAAAAGTTGATTAGTTTCAGCCATTATTTCTCTTGCTACACTAATAGCAGCAGATTAAATTTTAAATTGAATTTAAGTGTAGCAATTAAGATAGAAAAGTCATTATTAACTATTTTATATCAAATTATACAGTGTCGAAGTGAAATTAGTAACATGGAATAAGGACTCTCATGGGCTCTTTGATTACGAAAGCAAAAGTGTTGATCTTAAATTCATAAAAATAGAAACTCCTTGTGAAATCTATCGCTTGAGTAACTTTTTAAGCTACTTGCTAGTTTTTTTTTTTTCTAAGAAAAAACTCCATCACTAGCTAAATTATAGAATTAGTGCAGGAGTAGTGCCATTAAGAGATAGAATTAGGCACATTTAAAATGCAAATTCTAATTCTCAAAAATATTTACAATAGCATGTATTAACATTTTTTTAATAAATTTACAGAGAAAGAACCTGCTGCGGATGGTTCAAAAGAAAAGGAAGAATTTAAACTATTAGATTCACCTATAGAACAAAATAACAAAGAAAATTTAACAAACAAAAATTCTGTGTTCCTAGCATCAATAGACGTTAACGAAGCAGTTATGAGTAAATAGATAATATTAAACATATTTGCGACAGTATTCCTATTTTGAAGAGAAGAACATTAATGATTTAGCGATCTATTATTAAATTATAGAAAAATTTTGCAACATGTTAAATCGCTTGAAAGGACTTTGCATAAATAATAATTTAAACATCTACTGAAGCACATATGCCAACAACGGATTTTCAGCTAAATTAACATTTTTTTTTCGTTAAAATAATAGGAGGTTCCTAATTCTAGTTCAACGCATTCAGAGATAGCTTGGGTACTTTTAATGAAAACTAGCAATAACAAGAATCTTACTTGATTGTAAGAAGTTTGAAAAATGAAAAAAATGTTTAAAAAGGCTATGAACTCAAAATAGGAGACATAGTGAAGTTTGGAAGAATTGAATATTAAGTCATTCAAGTAAGAAATAAAGACGAGTAGGCATAAATCAGGAATATCTAAAAATAAGTAATAATTAAATCAATAAATAAATAAACTACTCATTTCTCAATAAATTTCCTCTAACTCTAACTTGTCTATCTCTAGATAATTATTTAAAATTTTTTTTTCTTAAATAGATCAATCAATCGATCTATTGATTGATTAAATAAACTAACAAATTATTTACAGATCTATTTCTAACTTTCCTCTCATTATAATCACAATAATGTTAAGAATGAATAAATGCGCTCTCTAATACATAAAAATAATCCTCAAAAAAAGCAAATTTTCATTTGTCTATTTAATCTCAAACACTTAAATTGATAAGAGGTTCTAGAATTATGATAAATGGTAATTGCTACTAATGTCAACAAATACAAAGCTGTTTTATTTAAAAAAATATGCTTATTTATCTTAAATCTATTATTAAGCTTATATGTAATTACTCCGATTACAATCTGTTTGGTGTAAATTTTTAGAAGAAGCAATTAATTATCTTTTGGAGCCATTTATATAAAAATAATATTTTGATAGACTTGTTATTGTGTATAGAATAGAGTAAAAATAAAAATATTCTTTAAAAATAAATAGATACATTTTCAAGATGAATAGATGATAAATGAATCTCAACAAAGATAATGTAAAATTTGTTTAGGTGAAGAAGAAACTGCTGATAACTTCTTTTGCAATCCCTGCGATTGTAAAGGAAGCTGTGAATATGTGCATTTTGAATGCTTAAAGAACTGGATTTAGTCAAAAGTAAAGCAAAAAAAAGCAGACAACACAATAGTTTATAGTTGGAAAAAAAGTGATTGCGAGCTATGTAAAAAACCTCTCCCTAAACATGTTAATTATCATAATAAATTGAATGATCTACTTGATGTTGAAATACCAGACGATAAACCTTACATCATTTTAGAATCAATTGCTAAGGAAAAGAAAGTTGTCAAAACCCTCTTCATTTTCTCTACAAATGTTGAAGATAAAGAAATAAAATTGGTAATTAATTTAATTAAGTATTTAAAAGATTTTTATTTTCTATTGTGTCCATTACATTTATACAAAAATAAAATAGCTATTTTGGAGCTAATTATTTTTTATCAAACAATATTTGGCACAATTTACTCAAAAACTATCTGAAAGAAATTAAATTTGCTTACAAAAAATATTAATCAAATTGTTTGTATTTTCTATTAAGAAATTATTTTAAAATTATTTTATTTTTTAAACAGGGAAGAGGACACTAATGCGAAGTAAGAATTTCAGATATTTCTGTCAGCAGAACTCACTCAATGATTAAATATAAAGATGGAAAATTTACCATTTTCGATAATAATAGTAAGTTTGGTACTCTGATTAAAATCAATGAAAATTTAGATATAGTAAGCGATAAAAAAGCTGTTTAAATTGGAAGAACTGTTATTACTTTTGCATAAAAGATGGGTAGTGTTGGCCAAGGAAATTAATTCTAAGAGAGAAGTGAAACGTAAAAAATAAATAGCCACCATCATCATCACCATAATCACAATTTCCCTAACGTTTAAATTTTAAATGGAGCTCCTAATAGTCCAATTGTTCCTCATAATCAACCCCTTCCTAATGGAAGCTCTAATGGAGGAAGTCAAACAAATATTCCTGTCAATGGATAGGCACCAATAAACAATTACAATGGATATTATAATAATGGATTTTATGGAAACCTTTAATAATAAGTTTAATTTTCTGCAGCAGAAAGTGCATAATACGCTTACTTGCAGCAAATAAATTAAGGATAAGTTGCGAATTAAATAGGAAACTAATAAATACAGTAATAAAATACAAATATTTATTCAATTCCTTCTCAATATTAAAACAATACTTATCCTACATATTAAGCTGGTAGTGACCAAACAGTACTCAAATAAAGCAATAAAAGTAACAGATAATAGTGATAGACCATGACATTCATTAATAATCTTAAACAAGTTTTCTTTAGAGGCTATTTGAAAATAACTAATAATTAATCTCTAAAGTATTACTTTTTCAAATTTATCTCTTGTTCATATAAATAAAAACAGGATATCCATCAATCAATCAACCCAATAAAATTAAAATGATAATAAAATTAACAAGAATTCTTTTAAAATAATAATTGATTCATAAATTCATCATTACTGTTATTTATCCATCAATAGCAAATAATAATTCTTACTATCGATAATCAATCAATCTTACATTCATACATACATACGTACATTCTTCATTCTATAATTACATACGTTGATATATACTTACATATAACCAAAATAAAACTATTTGATTATTATAAATAAAAAATAATATGTATATTAATAAAATAATAATATCAGTAAAAAATATTTATCACTTTAATATTTTAAATAATGATAAATCAATTCTTCAATAAATGAATCAATCTTCTATCTATCTATCTTTGTAATAGTTCTCAATCGTATGCTCTGATTACTTCAATCAATTTAAAACTAGCAAAATATGTTTAAACAGGCAATCTAACAAGAAAATCACTCCTATAAAATGTGCATTAGAAGAATCAACAGTGATGATTACTAATTAATTAATTATTTAAATCCTTTTTAATATGTCTCATAATTAATTAATCGATTGCAGTTAGTTAGTTATCACACAATAGCATGAAGCTCTGTTAGTTTATATTAAATAAATACATACTATATAATTAAAATTATTCATTTCAAGAATTTTATACTATATATTAGATACATGTATGAGTTAATTCTACAATTAATTGCTTTAAAATTAATTCTTATTTATGTTATTCTATTGATAAAAAGTATATAAAATTAA